TTCCGGCTTTTAATGTAAGTTAATGTTACAAGAATTTATTAAGTCATATTGATTCATATTATTAAGTCATGTTGGACTATTTCTATTGGTCCATTCATCCAGAAATTTTGACACAGTGTAAATGGCAGAATACCATTCGCCAAATGTGTAGTCTCGTCTTCAGAGTCTGACCAAATCGGACTGAGTCGTAAAACTGCCGCAATATCAAGTTTAGCTCAGTTTTGTCAATTTTTGCTAGATCGATATTAACGTTTTTTCTTTCCAGCCAGTCTAACAGCACGGTTAGAACGCATCTCAACCAATCAGCTTTCGTGGCCAGAACTAACTGTTGCATAATTTGTTTTAAAATTTAAAATGTTGACATGTTACATTCTAGATGTACATGTTCATCTGCAGTTCAGTGCAGTTAAAATGCATTCCAGTGTAGTATGATGTTAGTTCTACTGACTGAAAGAATACAAAGATCAGCAAATGAACTCCTAAACAAACTTACATTTTTATAAGTGAAAAAATAAAAGATATTTAAAAGACTAAAAGACACCTCAAGAGGACATTAGGACTTACTAGAAATATATTTTGACTGAAAAACTCTAAGCTACTAGCAGCAACCACCTACTAATTAACAGAGATGCTAATGTAAGGATTAACTAGACAATTCAGGCACAGACAGTAAGAGGCTGAAGGTGTATGTGCCAGGTGGGGAATAAAGAAAATAGGAAAAGACTGTAAAAAAAAAAAAGTAAAGGTAAGTTACAGCTAACAGTATAGTTTACAGCTAAAGCTAAGAGGAACAGCTAACTTAGGTATTAATGTCAGCCATTAGCTGCAGCTAACATCAGCCGTTATAAAATGGATGAATTTGAAAACTTAGCGGACTTGCTATCGGTTGTTTGGATGACATCACAAGCAGACAGATTTACATGACATTTTGTCATTGAAAGTGATTCAAACATGCAGTTATCTGCCCAGCCAGAAAAGAACCAAACAAAAATTAACATAAACCTTTACACCAATGGAACCTCAGTGGCAGAGGCTCTAGACGTACCGCAGTACAAATACAGTAAAGCGGATGCAGCACTGCTTAGCTTTTTGCACTGCAGGCGCACTGCATTCAATTTACTGTATTTATTTTGTAGCATGTTTTGTTACCATTAGGCAGAGCCACCTCAAACACTGGCCCAAGAGCAGCTTTATGGAAACTGACCAACAACAGCTGTTCTCAAACTGGGGGCACTTACTATCCCCAAAGGATAGTAGACTAAAAAGGTTTGAGAAATGCTGGGCTACAGTATTGATAATACCAATATCAATCAATCAAGCAAGCAATCAATCAACCTTTATTTACTCTCAGAATACATTGAGGGAGACCCTCATTTGCAACGTAGCCGAGCCTATTCAGAAATCAGGGACTGAGAAGCTGGATAGTAAAATCATATCAAATACTTAAAAAGTAATAATAATCATCGTAGTAGTAAATTTAATAGTAAAAAAGTAGAAAAATCAATAAACCATAAAAATTACAATGATATAGTAACATAATAAATAACAGATAAGAATAAAATAAATAAAAAAAACATAATTAATGAAATAAATAGAGACAATAGAAGATGTAAGACAATAAATTGTCAATAATAACATACATTAAAAAATTAAAAGAGTAATAAAAAGTGAAACAATAGCTACAACATAACTAAAACATACCAAAAATATACTAAAAGTTAAAAAATGAAGTAAAACAGGTGCAGGCTGAGTGGAGGTGGTTAGAGACTAAGTTTAAAATGCTCAGTGGAAGAGGCTCTAGAAGTACTGCAGCACAAATACAGTAAAGTGGACGCAGCACTACTCAGCTTTTTGTACTGCAACAACTGTACACGCCTAAGGTAGACTGAATATATGTTAAGAGTTCATTAGGTATCTCTACCGAGATCCATTCAGTGAGGGCCAGACTTTGTGTACAAAGTTTTACAGAGCCAATCAGGTCCAAGTCCATCCTCCACCTCCATCCTTCCGTGAGAGATTCTAATCCCGTTAGTTTAGCCTCCTCACAGCTAATCCCACCACTTCTTCACCTGCCTGTCCTCCAGCCCTGTCACCAGTCTCTGGGATGAGTGCGTGCTGCTGAACATTGAAGGTAAATCTTCATACGGCTTAAAATTGTAGCTCAGGAAACAAACCGTGCAGCGTGTTTTGACATAAAATGTTCAGATCAGTTCTTATTTTTTCCCAAATACAAGGTGTGAATTAAAGCTTCTTCATATATTATAACATAGTATGCGTATGAGCTTGACATTGACCATTTCCATTCGGCCTAACCAAGATATTGACATTTAATAAATAGCTGATGTGCAAACTGGTCAAATGTATGTGTGTATATTTTCTGGGGTTTCTGATGTTTATGCTATCATTTCTTCTTTTGGCACTCACCAGGCTATGCTAATGCACTGGTCAAGTGAATTTGCCAGGTTTTGACTCTCTTTCAGGGAAGAAAAGCTGATATTATGCACTTCTGAATTACATCAGAAGCAACAGGTTGTCAGGTTTCTGTTAGTATATAGCCTGGAGTATCTCTCTCGCGCTCTCTCTCTCATTTCAGCAGAGGAACTTAGCACTAGGTTCGCTGCAGTAGCCACAGGCAGGGGCACGTCTTTCTGCCCCTGCTCAGGCCTGTGGAGATTAGGGTCAGAAACGTTAATCGCTGATTAGCGGTGACAGTTTTCCACACAAACAGCCATGATCCCCCCCCTGCAGCTAAAGGCCTCGGATGGAGAGCGCAGGACGGAGAAGGAAACAGGTTGTGTCTCCCCACAGGGCAAAAGAGTGAAAGTGGAGGAGCTCACCATGTCAACACTCATTTGTGAAGAGTCTTAGGTGGTCTTAGTTGCTGTAGCCACATCTCAGAGGTCATGTGATGGCTTAACTCTTAGAAGTCTAGAGGTACTGTCGTTCACTATGAATGTGATTTGCATTCTGTAATCATGTACATGGAGGTTAATTACGTAATTAACTAGAAGGCGGAAGTTCGTAAAGTAACTGTTGGCTTGAAAAAACTGTAACGTTACGTCATGTTATGCTATGAAATCACAAGTGGTTGCTAAGCTGTTGCTAGGCCATTGCTATAGTATCCCAGGTGGCTGCTAAGGTGTTGCTGAGCCAATGCTATGGTATCCCAGGTGGTTGCTCAGGTGTTGCTAGGCCATTGCTATGGTAGCCCAGGTATTTGCTAAGGTGTTGCTAAGCCATTGCTATGGTATCCCAGGTGGTTGCTAAGGTGTTGCTGGGCCATTGCTTGGTATCCAAGTGGTTGTTAAGGTGCTGCTGGGCCATTTCCATGGTATCCCAGGTGGTTGCTAAGGTGCTGCTAAGCTATTGCTATAGTGTCCCAGGTGGTTGCTAAGGTGTTGCTGGGCCAATGCTATGGTATCCCAGGTGGTTGCTCAGGTGTTGCTAGGCTGTTGCTATAGTACCCCAGGTGGTTGCTCAGGTGTTGCTAGGCTGTTGCTATAGTACCCCAGGTGGTTGCTCAGGTGTTGCTAGGCCATTGCTATGGTACCACAGGTATTTGCTAAGGTGTTGCTAAGCCATTGCTATGGTATCCCAGCTGGTTGCTAAGGTGTTGCTGGGCCATTGCTTGGTATCCAAGTGGTTGTTAAGGTGCTGCTGGGCCATTTCCATGGTATCCCAGGTGGTTGCTAAGGTGCTGCTAAGCTATTGCTATGGTATCCCAGGTGGTTGCTAAGGTGTTGCTGGGCCAATGCTATGGTATCCCAAGTGGATACTAAGGTGTTGCTGAGCCAATGCCGTGGTATCCCAGGTGGTTGCTAAGGTGCTGCTTTGTTTAGATTTGTGCTCTTTCACAGAAGCAGTAAAAACATTGCAAAAATGTAAAGAATATTCTTATTTCTTTCTCAAAAAATATGGAGAGGCTTCTTTCTGTTATTATGCTTCTAAACCGTGGAACTTTTTTCTACCTTTATTAGGAAGTCAAGCTCAGCACACGCTTTTAAAACACTTTTGAAAATTGTATCTCTTTAATTTAGCTTTTCATCAAAATGTTACCTTTCTTTTGTATTTATGTTTAATTCTGTCTGTGTTGTTTTTGCACTCCTAGAACTTTGAACTTGAACTGCAACTAGAATGAAAAATGCTCTAATAATAAAGTTTACTATAATATTTTTATTATCCTTTGCATAAAAACAGTAACTGTATGCAATAATGACTTCATCATATTCCAATCATAATGAAATATCCCGTCTTCTACTTACAAACGCAAACGCAATATGGATTGAAAGATTCAAAATCACACTTTTGAAAGAATTTCTCCTCTTTGTTCAACGAGCTGCAAGTCAGAATTTTTGATGTCAAATTACATCATGCTTTTGCTATCTTTTGCCAAATAAAGTAAAGAAAATGTACATTTCTGTTATGCATGTCTCCACACAGTATGTGTGTGGTTGATATTTATTGTGTATCAGTGGGGAGCCCTTAGGGCCTTCTAGACCTTCAGAGAAGGCCCAAAACTTTTGTGTAAAATAATAAATATGTGTTTGTATTTTTTATTTCATGTTTATTTAATGCAGTCATCATTAAAACATCATTAAAACTTGTAGCAATACTCATATCTTAGTGCTAACAAACTACTAGAACCCCATAGGGGTGCTTGCAGAACTTAGTATTATCATAGGGGCGTTTTTTTCCTCATTTTGATATTCATGGCCCAAACTAGCTCTTATAGTCAGGGGTTGCCACTGTGTTTCAATTAAAAATAGTTTTACTGCTTAGTAGTTTTTAAAGAATAAATATCAGATTGTTATGTGGTAGAGCGAGCATCACATTGAACACTCTCTCTACAAGTTACGATGATCTTAACACTAACACTAAGATGCTTTTCTCAGCTGATACTCAAGGTTTTAATATTGGTATTGAAAAAGTAGTACCATCTGTAATATACATTTGTGTGTGTGTGTGTGTGTGTGTGTGTGTGTGTGTGTGTGTGTGTGTATGTGTGTTTTGGGCTGCAGCATGTTTAGCTGGGTGGTGAAAGTTGTCCCACAGCCTCCTGAAAAACCTGGAAAACTTGGAGACGAAGAGAAAAACAATGCAGCTCCAGTAAGTATGCATGTTTCTGAGAGCCTGGATTCTGCCTCATAACTAAGAGCAGTCTTGTTCTAGCTGCTGCATTGTCACCACTGGAAAAAGATAGTGGGGCAATAGAGGGAAAAAGATACAATTGGATCAATTCAATTTTGTTAAAATTTATGTACCCAACATTTTTACAACTACTACAACCAAAATATTCTGTAAATGTCTCAAATGTAAAACCAGAAATGTAACCTTCTGAAAAGCTGCTGCTGTAATTCTCAGATGGGATGCTATTTTGGTTTCTTCCAACTGAACAATATGTCTCACACTGTTTTTGACACCCTTTCAGGAGGCAACTGTCAAAGAAGAAGCAAAACCAGGTAGGCGTAAATTTTGCGGTCTGATTGCAAACATGACAGTTTCAGTTCATTAAAGGGGAATCACACCGACTTTTCAAAATTTTAGCATTATTCAATCAATTGATAATATCAATCAATTCAATCGTTAAGATATAAAGTCGTGCAGAGTGGTGGTTGATATGAAAAGCTCCAGTGACTTCCTTTAAAGTCCCAATAGAAAATAATTTTAACCTTAATCAACATTCCACATAAAAACTCAGAAGACACGTGTAGGTTCACTGGTGGTTTTGGACAGTAAATAAAATGACTATATACCTTGTAGACATTGTGACCCCTGCTTCCCATCACCACAAGAAATCTGAGTCAGCAATTTTCTCTAGATTTTCACATCAAATCACTCTGGATGACTTTGTTTATATCTCAACAACTGAATTGTGCAGAAAATTTGAAAAAATGATGTACTTTCCCTTTAATTGTTATAGTGTTATATAAGAAGTCCATGATGTATGCCTAAATAATAATAATAATAATAATAATAATGATAATAATAATAATAATTATAATAATAATAATAATAAACCTTATTTAAATAGCATTCTTTCATTTTAGTTACATCTCGAGAAAATTAACAGAATATTGGAAAGATGAAATATATGAAATAACTGCAGAACAACACATCAAAGAGAAAAGTGCCTATGATAATATCTGATTGTTCTTTCTAAATTAATGCTAGCATTGCACCAGCTTGTTTGTCAGTACTGTTTTTCTTTTTATTTCACAGCAGACAATCCTGCTAAGCCAAAAGAGGATGAAGTCTCTGAAGAAAACAGGTACTTGTGTGTGAGTGTGTCTGCTCCACTTCTTCCCTCGGCACTCTGGAGTGCAGCCACGTCCTGCTGACCCACTGTGTTGTCGGTCCAGGTGTTTGCACAGTCTGGACGGGATGATCAGGGTTATCAGGATAAACGGTCTTGAACAAACCACAACCTCAACGTACACAGCTTAGCTGTTAACCTCTGTTAACTAGGGCTGCACACAATGAACAAAATACCAAACTGCAGTTACACTGCAGTGTATAATGACTGTAATGTACCTTGCAAATGTATAGCAAACACATCCTAAAACCCTACATGTAACATTAAACTGTTAGAGGTTAAGACTTAATACATGCTTTGCTATCCCTTTTAATTGTAATTACTAGGGATATAACAATACAATGCTTCATGTTTTAACAAACCGTACTGCAGTGTACAACGGTACAGCATATCGCTGCTGTTGGAACAAAACCTCATCTCTAGAATGGTAACTTGACAAGAGAGGAAAAAACCTACTTTTCTTTTAATGTAAGTCAATGGAACCAGAATTTTTTCCAAGTAAATTTGGGCCGTTTCTTTTAGTCCATTCATCATTAAACAGGTATTTTCTAATTATGTTGTTCCAACAGTGGAGATATATCGATCAGGCATAACATTATGACCACCTCCTTGTTTCTACGCTCATTGTCCATTTTGGTCCTGTTCTTCAGTGGTCAGGACCCCCATGGACCCTCACAGAGCAGGTACTATTTGGGTGGTGGATCATTCTCAGTACTGCAGTGACACTGATGTGGTGGTGGTGTGTTTGTGTGTGTTACGCTGGTACAAGTGGATCAGACACAGCAGTGCTGCTGGAGTTTTTAAACACCTCTGTGTCACTGCTGGACTGAGAATAGTCCACCAACCAAAAATATCCAGCCAACAGCGTCCTGTGGGCAGCGTCCTGTGACCACTGATGAAGGACTAGAGGATGACCAACACAAACTGTGCAGCAGCAGACGAGCTATCGTCTCTGACACAGTGTTTAAAAACTCCAGCAGCACTGATGTGTCACTGCAGTGTTGAGAATGATCCACCACCCAAATAGTACCTACTCTGTGAGGGACCATGGGGGTCCTGACCACTGAAGAACAGGGTAAAAGGGGGCTAACAAAGTATGCAGAGAAACAGATGGACTACAGTCTGTAACTGTAGAACTACAAAGTGCACCTATATAGTAAGTGGAGCTGATAAAATGGACAATGAGCGTAGAAACAAGGAGGTGGTCTTAATGTTATGCCTGATCGATGTATACTGTATCGTTGTATCATAACTTGCATGTTAGCTTGTGGTTTGTGTCTTAACTTGAGGCTAGCTTGCACATTAGTACACTATAAAGCACAGCTTTGTGTCTAAAATATTGTGCTTTTACAATGTTAAATGCCCTAATAAACTAAACATGGAACTTACATCATATTACAATGCATTACAGTTTCAAGTTACATTTGGTTTATATATCAACAGATTCTATTTTGACAGAACTGAGTCTGCATTTCTGAATTTTTCGCTTTTATTCCAATGTCAGGAAATGATAAAAACAAAATCACATGAACACAGTACCTGGTGACAGTGTTGAATCCACACTTATCCTAACTCAGCCTACTTATCTTCATCTGGTATCAAATTATACCACTGTTTTTTTATTTCTAAGGCAGAGCACAGACAGACCAAAGTCAACTCATGATTTACATTACATTAATGGCATTTGGCAGATGCTCTCATCCAGAGCAACTTACAATTTGATCACTTTACACAGGCAGGCAATGGTAGTGTTGGGAGTCTTGCCCAAGGACTCTTATTGGTATAGTGTAGGGTGCTTACCCAGGTGGGAATTGAACCCCAGTCTACAGCGTAGAAGGCAGAGGTGTTACCCTCTACACTATACCAACCAACTTTGGATGACTTTTGGCCCACCAGAAAGTTACTCTAACCCTACTATCTCAACCACTGAGAAAACAAATATATTTATACTATTTATAACTTCTCTTATTTCACTTTTAAAAGTCTACATTTGGAGAATTTTGTAACAAAATATGGGGTAATGTTAAAAAAATATGTAATGTTTGACCCTCAACCCACCACAAGCATTGCACTTTGGCTCCCCAGAACAAACCATTTGGGCACCCTTGATTAATTGCTTTATTTAGATTTGTAATTATTTATGTTTGTTTGGATCTTATGAATGCCTTGATTTATGAAAATGTGTAGAAAACTCTTTTGGAAGGTTTAAGATCACAGCGATCAATAAAAATGCTTTAAAATTGTCCTGCTGTAATCTCAGTGTTGAAAAAGCCCATGTTGCGATAACAATCGACAGGTGATGTGTTGTTCTGCCTTACTTTTACCCCCCTTTCTCTCTCCCCAGTGCTCAGAGTGGGGTTTTGACCTGGCTGTCTCACGGCTTTAGCAGCGCCCTCCCCCAGCCTGTAGCCACCCCCAAACTGGGCAGAGCAAACTCTGAGGCCAAGGTACACTATGAGCCGTGAATCTCCTGATATTATGGCATCAATAACACTGGCAATTTAAAAAAAACATAAGATCAGACGCAGCGCTTGTTTCTGCATCATGTTAGATGTGATTGCATCAGCAGGATATATTAGATGCATTACTCATTCCCCCCCTAACAAACACATTAAGTAATCATACTAATATTGTAATTCATCCTAATTTTCTCTCTCTCTCTCCTCTCACTCACTCTCTCTCTCCCTCTCTCTCTCTATCATTGAAGCAGGAGGAAGATGCAGTAGGCAACAGGTACAATTGGCAAGCCAAGCCTTTGCAATTACATTGATAGGGGAATTACAGTAATTTTTCAAAATTTCTGTATAATTCATAGAGATTGCTCAGGTGCAAACACAGTCATTAAGAGAGCTTTGATGTGAAATGGTTCACTGTACTCAGATTTTAGAGGTTTTGATGTCGACAACATAAATATAACCATATCCAAAACCAAGCAGTTTTATATGGAATGTTGATGATGGTAAAACAGTGGTAAACCTGAACATATAGCTAAGTATGTACCTCACCGCCACGAATGTGTTACATTTTAGGCCAAATTCTTATCTTAAAACTATTGTAAAACAGCATCTCATACGTCATGCAATGTATTTGTAAATATATCAAATATTAACTTTCTGTTAGAGAGCTTTTAGACACAAACTCTTCAGACGTCTATTACAGGCCATGACTTAGTAAAGCGTGGGAACGAGATCCTAATGCTTGGCCATGACATAGTAAGCATGGGAACGAGATCACGGCTTACTAAGTCGTGGCCATGCATTAGGATATCATTCCCATGCCTTATTATGTCGTGGCCACGCATTAGGATCTCGTTCCCACGCTTTACTAAGTCGTGGCCACGACTTAATCATCTCATTCCCACGCCTTACTAAGTCGTGGCCACGCATTATTTTTATTTATACAGGATGTCACCAGCGGGGCTCCGTATATATCTGTATTTCCATGTGTGGCTGGTTTCTGCAGTGTTAATGTTGTGGCTGATGAATAACTGAATGTGGTCAGTTTATCAGCGGCTATCGTTGCTTTTTTTGTCGACACGCCCCCCAACTCGGAAACTCGGGGCTCAATGAAAAATCCGAGTTTCCCACTAGTAAATACGACATTGTGGTGCCGTTCAGGTGCATCCATCTCGTAAACACGACTTGAAGGCAGCATTAGGAATCTCATCATATCTTACAGCATCTGATCTCTACGGAGCCCCGCTGGTGACATCCTGTATAAATAAAAATAATGCGTGGCCATGACTTAATAAGGCGTGGGAACGAGATCACGGCTTACTAAGTCGTGGCCACACATTAGGATCCCATTCCCATGCTTTACTAAGTCATGGCCACGACTTAATCATCTCGTTCCCACGCCTTACTAAGTCGTGGCCACGCATTATTTTTATTTTTACAGGATGTCACCAGCGGGGCTCTGTAGATCTCTTCTCAAGTCAGGAAATCTTAACTTACTCGATCGAAGTCGACAAGCAACTGTCATGTCTGTAACCTAGCAACCGACCATCGCGCACAGCTGAAACATAAACACGTAATCAGTATACAAGTTAGTTAGCCGGACAGCTAACGTTAGCTACCGTTACTGAGATAAAAAGGTCAAACAAAACTAAAGCGCGATAAACTGAAAATTAAGAATATTTATTTTTTAAATTTAATTTAACTGAAGCGTCGTCGCTTCCCAGTTTCAGTTTCAGTTTCATTTCCCAAAGCTTTAGCTGAGCACTCTAACGTTATTCCTCCTAGTAAACGGACACACGTTCAGCTCAGTCTCCTCATTATTCACCACCGTCACTGTAACATTTTATCAGACGAGTTAGTAGTTAGTAGTTAGTAGTTTCTCAACATTCACTCATGAAGGTAATAAGTCAGGGTGGTGGAGATCGAGTCTGCAGCGTCTGGAGGTTTAAAACGCTGTTAAAACAAAAAACCTCATAAGTCAAAGCACCGTTTCCGTGTTAGGATGGATAAATGTAGCTAGCGTTAACGTCGTCATGCTCGTTATAGTGAACTATGCTGCCTGTGAATGAATAAAACAATAGAAACAGATGGTTAAAACAGAACTTAAGTCTCCTCTGGGGTTTATCTTAAAGTTAGGACAGTATTTAGGAGATTTAGCCTAGTTAGGATGTTTCTGTTATGCGGTTTTCTTATCTTGAATTAGGATAAGATTATGAACTTAAGAACTGCTGTTCTGTAATAGCTTCTGTCCTAAATTCAGTCTTAAGTGAAGTTGTCGTGGTGACTGAGCAGATAAAATAAGATTTCAGACTGAAGAAGTTTCTGCAATACGGCCCAGTACTGTCACTTGGTGAGTTTCTCTAGAAAAAAGCATTTCACTTCAAACCACTCTGAATGGCTTTGTTTACCTTTATCTTAACAATTTAATCATGCAGAAATTTTGGTAGAATTCTTATGACGGTGTTTAGGGCCACTGTTAATAAAAATAGTAGACTTCGAGAATAAAGTTATAATATTTCGAGAATAAAGTCGTACTATTTCGAGAAAAAAGTAGTAATATTTTGAGAAAAAAAGTCGTAATATTTCAAGAAAAAAAGTAGTACTATTTTGAGAAAAAAGTTAGAGAATTACGACATTAAAGTGACATTAATACCAGGAAAGGTCGCAATATTGTGGCCAAAGGCTTTGCGAAGTGAAGGCAGCACCTCCTCGTGTTAAATGAGGGGTGTTGAGTTGGTGGAGTTGTACTTTCATATCGATTCACCCATAAAGAAACACTCAGTCTCCCTGTCTCTCCTGCACATCAGCACCAGCCTGTTATTAGGATAAGAACCGGCTGAAACGGCTGAGCAGGAAACTGTTTATCTGGAATAAAGAGCCAGACGGACTCGGAGGAAACTGTCTGTCTGTGTTGTTGAAGGAGAATCTCAGGCAGGGTCGTCTACACGGCTATCGGGGGCTACATCTCCCCCCATTCAAAGAGGGCATGAAGTTTCACAGACAGTGAGAATGATGATCAAAATGATCCACAGAGAGACAGGAGTGAGTGGAGCTTCGGCGCCAGTACAGCAACCGAGACCCCAACGCGTTATGGCAGCCCCCTACAGTTAGCCCCCCTACAGTTAGCCCACTTTATCCTTTTAACATTACGACTTTATTCTCAAAATATTACGACTTTATTCTCAAAATATTACGACTTTATTCTCAAAATAGTATGACTTTATTCTCGAAGACTACTATTTTTATTTTTATTAACAGTGGCCCTAAAACGGCTTTGTAAATTCCAGTTTATGTGTGTTTTAGTCTGTATTTAAGTGTGTGTTTGTGTAATATGGTGTGTTTGACATCAGCCTGTCATATATTTGCTCCCCTCTTCATCATGGATTGCAGTAAAGCGGGTGAAGAGTGAGTAGACACATGGCTAAATGCTTATGCTAAGCAAGCTAGCCAACGCTACGTAGCCTCATGAAAAGACTTTGCAGCTCATATAGCAGAGACTTCAATGCACTGCACTGTGGTCACATACAGCTCAGAGAAAATAGACCATTTTACCCGCAGCTCTGCATAGACTCCTATTAATCAAGCTCATAACAAAGGAATATATGACCCAAAAAATGTTGACGCAGCTAACAGTGAAAGAATGCTAGCGTTAGCAGAGAAAGGTACATGAGCTCATCCTCTAGACTCTCAGATAAAATGATTCTTTAAGGGTTCTTTAGTAAAGGGAGTGGTTCTATTGAGAACCACTAGTTCTACATTGAATCATTTCATGCTAAAATGTCAGCCAAACAAGTGTGTACGGTATGGCTTTTAAAAAAAAGCACCAAAAAGAGTTCTACTAATGTTACGATGTCCATAATAGAAGAACTCTTTTTGGTGCTAAATAGAACCATATACAACTCACGCTCCATCAATCTGAAGAACCGTTTCACCATGCGAAGAACCATTCAAGCATGAAATGGTTCTGTATAGAACTCATGGTTCTCAGTAGAACCATTCTCTTTAATAAGGAACCCTTGAAGAACCATCTTTTTAAGAGTATAGTGAAAGTGTTGTTGCTTCATTTTTAAAAATATCTCAAGTAGAACTAAATATAGCTACCAAAACCCAACTTAAACAACTTAGAGTAAAAAGTAGGAGAATTTCTTCGAGGGCTGAGCTCTGGTATAAAACTGCAGTAGAACTTCTCACGACATCCAGCATCTATTAGCATGGGAAATGAAGCTTGTTAGGCTCTATGCTGCTCTTTTTGGACCCTTTTGTCCTAAATTAAAATGAAATAAACTCCAAACAGAATGAATAGAAAGAAGTAGGGACTGACTGTGAAGAAAATGAAGGAAAATCTCAGTTCTTCATTTAAATATAATAACAAGTACATTAAAAAAAAAAATACTCAGAAAAATATCCATCTCAATTTTATCCACCTCTGAATGCTAACAGGTTAGCAGATCCCATTTACACAATGGTAACTGAGCGATATTGTTTTTAGCAAATGTAGCATCTTTGGTAGCTCCTTTCTACCATGCCTATCCACCAGTCAGTACAAATCTAAGAAAAAATGCTCTGAGCACACATACACAAAATTCACTGGAAGATATTATCTAGTCATGCTAGGAAAAAGGCAATAACACACAGGACAAAAGACCTGATCTCACTTACTCGATGCTAATGCTTAGGCCATTGTTCTCCAATTCCAGTCCTGTGCTCCAGTGGTTCTCATTCTTCTTGAGCCATAACCGCTCCAGAAATGCACCAAATACCTAAAAGAACATTCCACTGCTGACCATTAATGAACAAAACATCTATCTGGTTTGACTTTGAGTAGAATGTATTGGAATATTTTTGAAATATCTGAGAGCTAATTTACAAATCATTCTGAGTCATCCTGAGTGAAGTAATATGTATAACATTTTGTATGCTTTGCAGCTTAGTTAGCTTAGTGTATAGCAAAGTTAGCTTCTAGTTTATCTGCTTGGCTAAGTGCTTCTGCTCAATGCCATGCAAGTTAGAGACATTTAAAGTCAGTCACTTTCTGTTTTATATTATAGTGATACTGTGTATTATTGATGTGGGAGATTTTATGACAGAGATATTCTCAAAAATATGCTGTGTGTCAAAAGTGTCCAGACAGCCCTTCTAATGGTTGAATTCAATCACATACTTAAAATGATGGCTCTTAGAGGGTTCTTTAGTAAAGAAAATGGTTCTATATAGAACAATGAACACTCAAAGAACCCTTGGCATGATTAAAGTGTGGCGAAGAATGTGCTGAAGATAGTGCTGTATAGAACCTTTTTGTAAGGGGTTCTGTATAGCACCAAAAAGGGTTGTTCTATTACTACGGTGTAAAGCAGAACGCTTTTTGGTGCTATACAGAACCGTTTTTAAAAAGGCGCTATATAGAACCATATACAACACATTTTTTTAATTATGCAGAGGGTTCTTTGAGTGTTTATTGTTCTATATAGAACCATTTTCCTTACTAAAGAACCCTTGAAGAACCATCTTTTTTAAGTGTGTACTTGTTCAGTTGGTTGTACCATCTGTGTAGAAAAGCAGAGACCAATAGAATGGGAAGCTCTGGAGCAGCTGCACATGAGCTTTATTCCGCCATGTCCAATGCCAAGCATCAGCTAGAGGGGTATAAGCCGCCCAGCAGTGGGCTGTGGAGCTGTGTAACTGCATTCTCTGGAGTGATGGGGCTCCAGCCAATACCATTGGGATGAGTTGGAGTGATCCTGACCTGATCATCCAACATCAGTACCTGACCTCACTAGTGCTTGTCTGGCTGAATGCAAACAGATCCTGACAGCAATGTTTTCCCCGAAGAGTAAAGTCTGTTACTGCAGCAAAGGGGGACACACTCACCAAATACCTTTGATTTCAGAAGAAATAAAATATATAGACCTGCTTCATTTCTAATACCCATCCCACAACCTCCAGATTGAGAACCACTGTGTTAGAGCAGGAACATGCAAAACTGTGTAGTAAAGGTAGAATTACAGGACTGGAGCTGGAGAACATTTGCAGAAACCTTTGCTTGCCTGCCACAGAATCGCTTTGCCAGTCTGCTGCTGCCTCCTAGTGTTCACATAGTGAACACCTTACTGTCTACTCGCCGCCTTACAGAGTGATTTTCTCTCCTCACTCTCAGGGCCGGAGTGATAAACTGGATTGTGCAGGGCTTGGGCAAGGTGGTTCCTCAACCTGATGACAAGTACAAACAGCAAACAGACTCGCAGGAGGTCACTGAGGTACGGTTCATTAACACGAGAGAGACATTTTAACATGTACCCAGATAGCAAGAGTATAGTGGGCCCACTGACAGCAAAGCAGAGGTTCATGTTGTTGTACCCCACTCTTTGGTGACAGAATCCAAACTCAGAAGATGCTTAGGAGGCAGGGCAAAAAGGATTATATTTTGGTGAAAGATTATGAGAAAAAGGTTTTAATCCTTTAATTGATGTGGCATTTCTGTTCAGGCTCCAAAAGAGGTACCAGAGGTACAGGTGAAGCCTGCTGTAAGTACATTAGCAAAAAAATGCTAGCAGAAAATGCTAAGTGCTGATCCTATCTTAATTCCAGGAGATCCACTCCAAATAAAGAGGTGAAGTAGTTTAGACTCTCTGTTGATACAAACTCTGTAATAATCTTTTGACAGAAAAATCGAATGTACAGTCTCCCCCCAAATGTAGTGGATCAGCCAAGGCAAGTTTATTTCTGATGTTTTATACTGGAGCTACAATGCTAACATAGCTAACAAGTAATGGGATCAGATCCATTTTATGCAAAAAAATGAATCAAACATTTTTTAAACGTTGCTCTCATAATACATGCAATAGACGGTTAACAGTGAATAGCCTACATCTAGTGAGTGCAGTTCTGAAAGTTTGGACCTCAAACAGCTGCATTTGCATTAACACTTTGAGGTGGGAAGTAGGAAGGTCTTAATGCTCAGTTGGCATGAATACATCATAATCCCTCACCAATTAGCACTGTGCAAACTGCATGCCTATTCACATACTGATATGGTCAAATTCAGGCTTCAAGATGGCTGATAAGCTATGCAGTTATACATAACTGTATGTCATGAAGTGTCAGAAACCACAGAAGCAAGTCTGTTAGAAAATTACTTAAAAACTCCACACGGATTGAGGCCAGTGTGCTGATTTTGGCATGGTATTTATTGGTGATTATCAATCTGATAGTTCCGGTCCGATCTGATTGGCTGAGCCACATTTGAAGCCGTTGTAAAATCCAAAATATACTTATACCTATGACCACCTCACAACAACTGAATTGTGTATTACTGCGCCACGGCACGATAAAGGCCCTTGTGCTGTTAATGGAATAATATTTGACTCTCATGCTGCTCACATGGACCATCGAATACATTGATTACGTAAGAACCCGTAATTTGCGTTCTTAGCTAGAACTAGGCTGGTCAGCCTGCTAACAGACTAAAAGAGCCAACAACCTAAACAACTCCATCAATAATATCACAGGCTTGAATTAAAGTACTTACGGTATGATTGACTGTAACACGTCAGTATAAAAGTCTGAAAAATGTCACTTGAATGGATTACACACTTTAAATGTTCATGTTTCAGTCAGAAGTCACGTCAAACCCAGGCTGAATCCTAAATGGTTCTGTACTCCCTAAATAGTGTTCTAGCTATGAAAGTTTAGAAATTCTAGCCTCTACAGCCAAATAGTGCATCATTTATCGAGTGTGGATGTGTCTGAGTCCCAAATGACTGTTTCTTAGCTGTATTTTGCTCTGTTGGGCTGCAGGATCCAGTATTTAAATTCCTATGTAGTGCACTATTTAGGGAGCAGGGAGCTATTTGAGATTCGGCCCCAGCACAAGCAGAGGGGCGCCGCCGGATTAGTGCTAAAAAAAACCTGTGGTGGTAATTTGGTGACCAAAAAGTACTTATAAAGCAAATGTTTTTGCATTAAACAGTGCTGTGTTATCATATGTGCATTGTTATACAACAAAAAATTCACAGTGTACAGCGATGGGTGGCTGAATGTTGTCCTCATTCAGCGGTCCATGGTTGCTTGGCAACGATACTATATTCTAAAGGAACTACACTGCTTGGTGGAATACTTGCTTATGTGTATTATTACTAATAATAACTTAAATTATTTTTGAGAATTGTGTATTTTATCATATTTTATGTTGGCTGCTGTTTTATAAAAGCAATAAGTCACTTGAGGCTGTGAGTTACTGCGATTTTATCACAAGGAGGGGAATTTAAGTACACCCTTCCCGTGATAAAATCACAGTAACGCGCGGCCTGTCGTGGCTTATTGCCTTAATATAAGCTTTAATTACTTGTTAGCTATGTTAGCCTGGTTTAGTCCACTACTAATGAATCAAACTTAAGACACCGAGCACGTCTTGGCTGATCAACTACATTTGAGATAAGGGTAAAATTATCTAAATTTGATTTTTCATGGAACTTTCCCTTTAATGTTAGGTGAAGTAACTTGGTACAGAAACACCACAGCCCTGGTGGATCTCGCTGGGTGGAACTAAACTGGCCCAAGCTTCTCTCCTGGCTTTGCTTGAGTCTCTGATGGGGTGTGTTGTCACTGATCAGCCCACGGAGATCTATGATGATGTTAGGTGCTGTTAGTGTTAATTACAGAGGGACTTGAGGAGCTGATTTCACCTCTGGAACACCTTGCAGGGCAGATTAATTTGCGAGTGTGAAGGTTAGCCCACGTATGTCAATCCTGAACGCAGCGCTGAGATTTTCCTGCTGGTCCCATCATGTGTTGATTACTGAGAGCACACCCTTGTTGAGATTGCTTTGGGTGAGTTTTAGGCCAAACCGCCCCATCATCAGAGCAAAGCACTCCAGGCCTGCCTGACTGGATTTGATGATTGAATGCATTTAAATGATATGGTATTTGTGGGTAAGTGAGGGTTTCTTGTCTTAAACTGACCTAAAGTGTCTCCTGGAAAGCAGCTCTCACATGGCAGTAAGAGAGCAGTAAACGCATGGATGACACTGTTATGACTTCAGTGATGTTTAAAAGCTGAAAAAGTACTGTGCAAAAGTCAGAAACCACCTTTCATTCATTTAATTTCCAGTCATTAATAGCCATTAAGTCCAAGTTACTCATTTCCAGGAGATATTTCTGAGGACATTAGATATAAAATGGTCCACTTGCATAAGGAAGGAGAAAGACAAGGGAAAAGTATGTGATGAAACATGAGTGTTCAAACAATGAAAATAGAGAAAATGGGGCTCCTAACAACCACCTGGAAGACGTGGTAGACACCAAAACTGCCCCCATCAGATAAGCAGCACTAAAAGCTTTCATCTTTGAGAGAGAGGAGAAAATCAAGCTGCTTCAGATCTGAAAACATCCACAGGTGTTTCTGTCTATGGGTCTGAAAGGATTTGTAGCTGTCAAGAAGAGCCTCACTGAGAAAAGGAGACGGACACATCAAGCAAAGAAGCTGAACAATGGACTGACCACCCCAGAGTCCAGACCTCAACATCACTGAATGTGTTTGGGTTATTTGGATGGTGAGAAGCAGAAAATGCAAAACCCACTTCTAAGACTGAACTTTGGTGTGGAAAAATATCCCTGCAGATTTCTTTGAAAAGACTTAAAAGAATTTTCTATTAAACAAATGTTTCTGCTTTTTTCCTGATGCTGAAAATTAAATTGTTTGTTCTTAATGATCGTTTAAGTGGAAATTATATAACTGAAGGGTAGTTTCCAACTTTTGCACAGTACTGTACTGGTTCGTATTCAGTTTTAGGACGACTTAAATGTACAAGTGAAAGACTGGAAAGCGAAAACAGGCCATTTTTACAGGCTAAATGAAGCTACACTTGTTTCAGGAACGTCTACTATAATGCACAACTTAGAAATCTTGCTGACTTGCTGTGGATGTTCTTTTTTCCCCAGGTGCATGATGCTAAAGACCTAGCAGGTACGTCTTTTCTTTAAATGACTGCATGTAATGAGGAACGTTTTCGTTTAATTTTAGAAGGACACCCTTTTTTGGTTCTATGAAAGGTTACACAATGATGAACATTCTGATATTTCATCAAATGCTGAAAGCATAAACAGTTAGTGACCGTTGATGAATTGCTAACACTAACTGCAAAAACAGATGGGCTACCAGGTGTATAATGATCATGTGAAGAGGTTTTTGTGCTGCTCTCTCCACCCAGATGCTGAGCCTCTCCCACAAATCCCTGTGGTGGAGGTAGTTTCTGATGAAGAGCCTGATGCAGATGGCAAGGCCTTAACTCCAAGGTTCTACTCCTGTTCATCACTTATTCACTCATTTTATCTCCCTGTTCATGTGTTTGCCTCAATTCAAGTTTAATGTCACATACAAAAATGTACCATATATTATCTTGTAAAGGACAGTATGTATCATATTATAAAATTACAATAACATAGTATGCAAAGATATATTAGAAGTAAATATGTCACTAAAGCACTATAAAATAAGCTCTAGTTGAAAAAATCAAAATAATCAAGAAGTATATCAAGAGCAGCATACAGTGAGGAACACAATCAAAAAAGAGCAAAAAGAGCTCCATTAGACGTAAAGATTAATAAATAACAGTCCTGTCTTTCTCTCTCAGGGTGATGGATTGGATAAAGCATGGTTTGGAGAAGGTGGTTCCCCAGCCTTCTCCAGTGCACAGCCCAGAACCTCCTAAGAAGGAAACTCCTGCCCCAGAACCGCCTCCACCACCAGCACCGGCACCAGGTATGTACACTTATACATCATTGCTGTCGGAATAAAACTCTCCTCTGTAATAGTAACTTTTCAGGAGAAGTTAATGTGAAGAAATGTGTTTTTTCCATGTGATTCTGGAGTTTCTGTTTGTCTGTTCATCATGAATTGTTCACACAATCTGAAAAGAAGCTTACATTTTTCAGAGCATGTAGAAAAAGGAAAAATTGAGATATAGCTGTTTGCAATAATTTGAACATCCCAGGGTCAAATGGCACATCTTGTGGATTTTCTAAGTGAAAACAAAGTAAAACGTCCTGTACAGAGAACACACTTAAATATACAAATGTTAGTTTAACATATTGGAAAAATACAACGTAAAACATAAAATGTGCTGTAACTTTTGCACAGGTCAGTTTTGTTTCCAATATGTTAAATTCAGCAATAAACAGTAACCGTGCATTGAAGTGTACAGAAATCAGTTCTCTGTAGATGATGTGTTCACTTACTTACACTTAGAAAATCAACAAAACATGTCGTTTGACCAGGGATGCGCAAAAACATACAACTGTAGACAATTTTGATCCGATGACAGCAACAGTGTACATACTGTATATAATATCACAGCTGTTTGATTAGATTCTTTAGGGAACGATTCAATGCAACATAATCTGAAATTCCTCTACAATTTTAATTGGGTTATTTTTCATACAATTCAGAATTATTTTTAAAAGTATTTTTTTAATATAGTGTCCGAAGGAGCTATTTACACTGTTGTGGAATAAAGACAATGGAACACAAAAAAAGAAACCAAATTTTGTCTGTAGTTTTGAAAATCGCCTGACTTTATTTGGGCCTAAGTGCATTTTTTTCTCAGTTATTTCTACAGTTAACTCTGGACTCGAACATTCTGGATTTGAACATTCCAGAATCAATGCAGTTAAATCATAAGACCGACTGTCGCATTTTCACATCCCTATTCTTTATATGTGAACCAAGCTCCTGCTGCATTCTCTCCGTACAAGATGTTCAAGAAATCTTACTCTGTCTTATGATGTTTTGTTTAGCACCTGCACCTTCGCCAGCAGAGCCACCCAAAGCAGAAGACGGGACCAGAGGAGGCACAACGTAGGTCCACTTAAACCTGCTCAACATATGTTCTTCTAGGAAAGAGAATCTATTATAAAGCATTAACTGAGTTTTTGTGTGCTTGATGGCATTCAAGTGTGGAAGGAGAAACCAAGTAGGTGTCAGTCTGACAGCTTTTCTCTAGGGCACCGCTATGCTGCTGTCAAAGACGCAAAGCTACTTAAATGCATAATTAAACCGAATAACTAGATGGCAAAGGTAGTCCGCATGAAAGCATCGCCCACTAATGGTCAAAAAAAGAGGAAGTGAAGGGATAGTGCTTCACTGCTCAACTGATTTAATGCTTTTCAGTAGAATTTGCCCAACAAAGACCCACAAGCTTGGCTGTCAGTGTTGCTTTTGCTCAACTGTAACCATAATGCTTACTGCTTACTGCTTCAGCCTTATTGCTTAGGCATGATAAGCACAATGAGTTTCTCCCACTTTTCACAAGCTGTTTGTCGTGGGTTTGCAGGGTACAGGTTATATAATGCAAACTGCATTTATATCCATAAATCAGCATGCTGCTTTTCTTTCATTTCCAAGCATGGTTGGCTGGATTGTGCAGGGACTCAGTCGCATTGTGCCACAGCCTGTTCTGAAATCAAAAGAGGTAAGAGGATAAAACCACTTCTCCAGATAACATCCACCTACTGCATCAGGGGACAAGTTGGAAAAAAATCAGGGGGGTGGGATGGTGGGTTCAGTTGACCAATATGGACATATGAAATGAATATTGAAATAAATGTTAAATCGCAATTCATTCTAAACACTAATATGTATTTCAGAATATATTGTCATGTTAACCAAATTTATTTTAAAATACATGTAATTTAAAACGTTTGGGAAAATATTACACACAGAAATGTACCATGCAAACATAAATTTGTGTAAATGTATTTTTCAGATACATCTGAAAATGTGTGAAAATAGCCAGAATACTGTCTAATGCACTTTACTGTTTTGATACCTTTTGAAATTAATTTGTATTCCAGTATCTTAATTTAAAGTATTAGCAAATGAACCTTTAACATGACAAAAGAGAGCGTTGTAGGTATTGATACTCTGTGAAAATGCAGTTATGACTTAATATCTCATTTATTTGAAATACATTGTGTATGAGTGTCTTACTGCATACATACATGGTTAATGCAAAGAACAATGCAAAACACAGAAGTCAGTACCATTTAGTCACATCTGTAAACTTTGTTAAAACCACATACAATTGAAAAAAAATAAAATAAAATTAAATGCATTTTAAAAATATATAACATGTATTTTTTGGCCAATTTTATACATTGCAAAAATATATTTGATAAGTACATTTGCAGTATATTTTTTTCATATGGGAACAGTCATGGGAATGAGGTGACCTGTTAGTTCTTTAATCAGCATTTTATTCCCCCTAACAAACCTCTCCGCAGCAATGACGACATTTAAAATATCAGGCATGATGTTAACACACACCACCGTAACATTAGTAACACTGCAGCAGTTCTCATCCTGGAGTTGTAGCTGACAGTGTCGCATTTTCATGTTACTGTTTTACCTTTTATTTACTTAAAATATTAAGATAATCCCTGAAGACTATAAACGCAATTTGATTTATTATTAATTTCAAACGTCTCTTGCTGTTTTATGCTGATTATCATTCCTGTTTTTCTTCTTAAATTTTACAGATCTTGCTGTATGTTTAAGTGTTCCCTATGGCAGGGTTGCCAGGTACAGCAAAAATCAGCCCAAGGTTTGCTTAAAAGCCGACAACCAGCACCTGAAGCTTATTGTTTTCTCCCAGCATTTTCAAACTAGCCTAATTTGCCAGGAGAGCTGCGAACCTGGCAACCCTGACAGCGGGCGCTTGCTCTGTACCAATGGCAGCATAACCAATGAAAAGTGAAAGCATGTGGTTCTACGTAATCACCTCTTCTGTAGGTGTGTTCATGTTGTGCCATGATATTACTTGTTTATTTGGCATTCATAAATGCTGTGGGGTGGAAATCTCACATATGGATGAAATGAGAATATCAATAATAGAGCTCTACAGTGATACCACATTAATTCAAGGAGGATGGAAAGGGGAAATATTTTTTGTCTATTATTTTTACCGGTGGGACATTGCATTCCCTCACATCCTCCCTCAAATCAAGTCCTATGCACAGTGTAAAAATATTACATTTCATACCTTTCCTTATTCAAAAACTTGAGCTTTTAAAAGTAGTTCAGAAAAATTCATTAGAATGCGTAAGTCTAGATAAAAACCCACTGACAATCACTGTTTTTACAGCTTTGGCCACTCAGAATTTTAGTGATTTAGTGGAGCACAGCTTCTTTTTCTGCTGTTATTGTTATGACAAAAATAATAAAATACAATAGAAAATAAAAGGAAACAACGATAAAAAAAGTGGCACTAGACAACATATTAAAAGGATGCAAGGCACAGCAAAAACAGAAATAAATGAAGAATGAAGGGGGAAACTGGAGCATTGTTAGATTAGAGGGTACATGGATGTGTGCAGTTTTTTATGTACAGCCTTTTCTTGCTGTAAGCAGAACAAGCAGTCATTTAGGAGACCTCCCCCCGAGCCACCACAGGGCCCCACGAGAAAGTTTTATTTGCTTGTTTGGTTGGTAGCTTTTAATTATTACATTTTTTTTTGTCTTAATCATGATGTTAGTGGAAAATACATAATTGATTTATTTATTTCAGTAAAAAGGGAAAGATAATGCACGCATCACTTAAACCCACAGCAAAATTTATTTTATTTGTATTTTTATATAGTTTTATATATTTTTTGTATTTATTTTATTTTTATAGTCAGTACAGTTGTCTAAACAATTTACAGGATAGTTGTTTCTGGTTTACTTTAGACTTTTTTCTCATTTTATTTTGCATAGAAAAGAATATGACTGGGCTGGGTAGGGGTCCCCAAGTAGGACATCACTTAGGACCCTCAAAAGTTCACAAATGTTTCATTATTTTCTAGTCTCACATTTATCAGACAGGCCACAATCAGGATGTGTTTACAAAGTAAAGCATTATTCAAACCTGGTCTCTGTGTATTGAAGAGGTTTTTAGTGAATATATACTCACTACTCACTATATCTGTGTAGTGCTTAAAGGATAAATGCACCAATTTTTCAAAATTTCTGCATAATTCAGTTGCTGACCACTCAGTGGTCAGAGCAGTTCGATGTGAAATAGTCCACTGTAGAGAAACTTAACCACACTGATTTCTTTACAGTGGTGGTGACAGGAACCAGGGGTCACAAATACATATGTTTTATTTTCTATCCAAAACCACCAGTGAACCTACGCATGTCTTCTGAGTTTTATATCTGAAAAAAGTATTTTTGGGGGGAGTATTTTCCTTTACAGCGCGCTACATTTACCTCTCCACTGTGAATGGTTTTAAATAAATATGTTTTAAGCCAAAACTTTTTCAAAAAGTCTTAGACATCAGTCAGCATGTTTAACCATTTCATTTGTTCTTATACATAGACTACAAAAGACAGGGCTAGATTAGCCCCGTTGACCATTATAAAGCCTTTACATCATCTGTGACAGTGCAGTATGTGTAGATTTTAATTTGTTTGAATGGCTTCTCTTCACAGGAAACCTCAGATGCTGTTCAGAGCAGTAAGTTTCAACATTCTACCTTTCTTTTACCACCACACCCTCACACAGATCTAAAGAACCTGGTATTGACGAATGCTAATAGTTGACCGATTGCAGGAAAATTTATTTGTGAATCTCTACATTTTAATATCACCTGAATCTGTTGGATTTGTCTTTGTTTAGGTAAATCAATGGAGAACTCACAGATTAGACAAATATATTTTAGTCCATTGAGTGTTAGTGATGGCAGTGTTGCAGCTACAACCTCTCACCACTAGGCAGCTTCAGTGACTCTGATTCTTAGTAAAAATACGGTGCACTCTAGTATTAATAGTGTAGTAGAGATTGGAACATGGATGTCTGACAGAAACGTTGTTTGTTTCTGGGGATTGAGTTTGAATTTTAAATTTTGAAGATGTGAGTGAGGCAGATTAGACTGTCTAATTTAGTGTAGGTGAGCTAATTCAGACATTTAGCAGCTAAATTTCTAAATGGAAGGACAGTGGCTCTCAATCCCGCTCCTGTGGGCTCTGCATGTGTTTGTTTTAGCAGCTCCAGCACACTTATGCTGCGTTCAGATGCTCATCAGATAGCTAATTAGTAAATGTGTCTTCGCTCTCTGCATGTGTTTGTCCAAATCGACACAGACAACACATAAAATAGAGCATGGAGGTCTTTCTGCTTTTATTTTGCTAAATAACACATAGGGATGGTTTTGCTTCACACAGTTATGTACGTAGAAAATGGAAACGATTTGGATATACAGTCGTATGCAAAAGTTTGAACGCCCTGGGTCAAGTGACATATTTTGTTGATTTTTTTTTTAGTGAAAATATATTAACACATCCTCGACAGGGAACAAATGCAAATATGACATTTTTTCTCCTAATTTTAGAGCACAATGTATATTTTTTTCTTAATTTTCTACTTTTGTTTGACATATTTTGGGAAAAAAACATAAAATATAAGATGTGCCACATTTTATGCTTTTTCTCCAATATCGTCCCCTTGGGATTATAAGGTTCTGTCTGCGTTCTGAGCAGTTTTGAGACATTGAGCTTCAAAGATTTTGGATTCCGAATAGCAGAACTGATATGTAGAACACGCCACTTTAAATACATGAAAATGACAGACACCCTAAATGTATTCTAAATGTACAATACAAAAAATGAGTTTTTTGGAACAGGTCAAATGCAGACAGAACCTTCTAATCCTAAGAACTCACTTTCTGCTTGGAATTATAAGGTTCTATCTGGCGAAACATGAAAAGAAGCAAACATGAATTTTCAAGGAACACAAACAGTTCACTCGTAATTTTCTTAAAACATTAATTTAGTGTTCTAACAGAGTGTCTACATTATCAGAAACTTAAATTTCATGCTTTCTATGACGTTATGGCATTTATTTTTAGTATGTGTTTACTTTTTATAACACTGATTCTTGTTTTAAGACAAATCATCTTTTTCTTAGTCAAAAAAGCCTTGATTGATAGATTAAGTATAAAGGTCAGTGCTAAATATTTTGTCCAGTGCAGAGGTCAGTTTTAAGTAGAAACCATTAGTTTAAGTGTCCTTTAGGTCAGACAGAAACCAGCTACTGTAATAAACTGTCCCAGTGAGTAAGTGTAGCAGGTCAGTATAAAGGTGGTGTGAGATTTTGTTTTATATCAGAAATGTGACTCTAATGAGCCAAAATGTCTCATTCTGAGAGAAAGAAGAAAAATAGATGAATGAATGAAATTAATGTTTATGTTATAATTAAGACTCCATCTATTCAAATGTTTACTATGTAATTACCTTTAAGGCTTAACGTTTATAAAAATTGAAATTCTGCGACTTTTCGAGTTTTAGTAACACATTTTCATGTTTCATGAAGTTTTATAAACTTTTCCCACGTTACTGAGCAGTGCGACGACGTGACAAAGAAACAGAACCTGATTGGTCCTCTTGTGTGTATTAGAAGTGCTGATTGGCTCAGAGATAGAACCTCATAGAACTAAGTTAGAATTTGACCTTTTTGTTTTCTGGATAAAGAATCCAAAAATACATAAAACTTTAAAAACACTTCACACAATTTTAATACTTTGTCACAAATAAGAATATGTGAATAACTCAATTTGGACAAAAGTGTCAGATAGAACCTTATAATCTCAAGAGAGTGATATGTTAAATTCAGCAAATAAGCAGTAGTTGTACATTAAAATGTACAGAAGTGTGTTCTCTGTAGAGGATGTGTTCACTTATTTATGATTAGACTAAATAAAAAAGTGTCATTTGTCCAGGGGCACCTAAACTTGCTGATAATGTGCAGGGCATTGTCTCCTCAAGACTGGGCCTGAGAGCTGTTGTGGTATGAGGAAGTGTGTTGGGTGGAGGTGTTTGAGTATTGAGACAAACTCTAACTCAGCTCCTCTTCTCCTTCTGTTTCAGGGGAGAAGGATGTGAAAACCCCTTAAACATAAGGAGGGGAAGACTGGGAGAGTGACATATCTGCAGAGAGAGGGAGAGAGAGAGAGACAGGGAGAGAGATTAAATCAGCCACACACATACACGCACACAGTAGGGCTGCACAGTGTGGACACATTACTGCAATTACATTGCTACAGATATGCCATTCCCCAAATATACACTGATCAGATTGGCTGTATTTTATTTTGGAAAACAAAGTAAGATTAAAAATTTCTTTAAAAAAAATTGGTGGCTTACCATTGATATGTTTGTATGTCTATGGTAAAAACAACAGCCTCACACAAAGCTTCTGCCTTGCTGTTCATGCTACATCGCGTAGCAGCCATGCATGCTCAAGTGGCAGATTTCGCCTCTTCCTTCAAGTAGTATGCCACTAAAGTCATAAGCAAAAATACATACTGGTGATGTTTTTCACTCAAAAAGCTATAAACTGACAACAAGAACTAAAAACATAGTCCTTAAATACAAAAGTGTTGCAGAAACGTTCAGCGTTGCTGGCTGTGACCAAGATGTCATTGTTTTCCAAGTAATATATCAGCCTCTGTTTGCACATGAGCCCTCCTGGCAATTTCACAGCAATTATTATGGACTTTGTGAAGTTATATTGCCCCATCAGTCTTACTTCCATTTCGTCTCCGGCTTGTCTTCACACTTCAGCCCTTCCCATAGAATTATATTTAAATTCCTGCATAAAAGGGCCTTTTTTAACGCAAGGCACGCTGCATCTCATACTGAAAAACTTTTCACAGTTTGGGGTTACCAAGTGCTGCAACTGTCCAGACGTTGGCCCCATCATCAGGTGATTGCAAGTTTGATCCCCAGTAATGCTACAGCCATCCATGACTGGGGGAGGCCAATTGTGCTCTCTTGGCCTCACTCTCCTTGGGTGCATAGAATGGCGCTCCCCACCCCCACCCCCCCCCCCCCCATCACTCAGCATGATGCTAACCAGCACAGATGTCTGTTAGCTGACATAACGTAACTGTTGGTTAGTGGTTGTCCAATGACATTCCATTAGTGGCCGTTCGAAAATGATGTGGTGGTGCGCCACATGACTCGGAGGAAGCTTGTGCTTGCCTTTGCCCTTCAAGTGCTGGTGGTATCGTGTGATTGGGGGAGTCCTAACTAGTGGGTGGAGTTGAATATGACTAAATTGGGGAGAAATTTGGAAAAATATGCTTTTATTTTTGGGAGGAGACGTAGGAAGATACAGAGAGTAGGTCTAATAACCTGCCTTTTCTTAGTGAATTAATGAACATCTATTATTTTGGTAGTAAGAAATTAGTTTTGGTCATCAGCAGGCAGGTTTAATGAATCCCATAAGAAACAAAACCAATTTATGATCAGTTAGCCATGCAGATGGGCAAAAAAAATGGCTAATAATGGTTGTTGTACAAAAACACTCATTTTTGCCTGTTCTCAAACTGCTTAAAATGAAACCTCTTTGCTGATAAAAACGTATTTCTTAGTGAATGGCATGACTATTGGCAGTTCTCTGTGTTCATGGCCGTTGCTGACCTTAGGTCAAAAGCATCTGAAGTTCTGTGCAGTTTGAGATGCGCTCGAGTTTTAACCTTCTCCAGTTTTAAACTTCTCCAGAGTAACGTGCCGCAGTGAACTACATTCTATAGTGCAAATTTGGGTGATTGTACAGTTTATCCAGAGAAAGTAACCTAATGTTGAACACAATGAAAATGTAGATGAGAATTTGTGTGAGGGTGTTTATTTTGCCTGAAAACTCACATTTTATTCAAGGAAATAACACAGGACCCCCCTTTTCAGTTTATCTTTCTCTTATGGGAGCCCCCCTGCTGAGGTAGAAACACTGTGATTTGGTTAGATGGCTCATTTGTGTAGTGCAGCCATCTTCAATGCCGGTACTTCAGAGGCCAATACTGTGATACTAATTAATAAACGAGATATATTGTGCAGCCCTAATACACATACATACACATACACACTGAGATCTTTGCGCAGCTATAATGCTTTAATGCATTACACACTTTTCTTCGCTTGTTATCTGAGTTAGTTGAGTTATGGAATGATACCTTAGTGCTTTATTCAGTTCATTCAGGGCCTTTTTAACTCGATTGCCTATAGAAGCCAAGTAAGCTTGTTTGCTAAGCCTATCAATAACTTACAGTCACTGTGAAAGGATTTCAGGTTACAGAGAGGCACTTTTGCCAGCTATTATTCAGTAACAGCTGTACTGCACAGCACCCTTACCTGCTATTATGCTAAGCAAGTAAGCCATACTTTTCATTCAGCTGGTATCAGACTCCACAGCGAAGAAGGTTCAAGACCACTGATGTTTACAGTATTGTTATTGTTTTGTTTTGTTTTTTTGTTTTGTATTTGAGAAGCTACTGCTGGCTTTGCACAGGCTTACAGAATATGAGAAATGTTTGCTGCTTGTAATGATGAATAAACTATTTTTGCAATGCCAAAGTTTGTGTGGTGGGAGGTTAATATGCAGTAAGTAACTGGGCCATCTACAAAATGATTTCAGAAAAAGATCATAGCATAAATAGATTAAAAAAAATCATACATATTGTAATATTCTTACAAAACGTCTTTATGAGGAATATTTGATATTTGTTTTACTCACATTTAAGATGCATTTACTTTCCAAGATATATTTTTTGCCGTGTGTAGCTTTTTATTCTACAGGTGGTTGTAGAGAATGAATGTTTTGGTGTATAATGAATATTGTGATCGATCAGTTCAGATCTTTTTTTTTTAATAACACTAATTACATTTCCCACCAGGATTTTTATGTAAAATGTTTTAACGCTTCAAAACTTTGTTCATGTAGACTATAGAAAAAGTTGTTGGTAATATTTTATGGATGTTGACAAAACGTCTTGTTCAGCGCTAGCAGTAACAGTGTTTCTCAATTCCCGAACTGTGGAAAACCTACAGTGGAAACACTTTTTGTTGGGGGGGGGTGGGGGGTAGCACAGAATTTAGCATCATGTGTCAGATTCTAAATAGAAAGATCTCAAACTGCTCTAGGTGACAGTGATCTCTTGCATTATGGTTCCAATGAATATACAAATTATCAACAACAATACAAAATAATAATAATAATAATAATAATAATAATCATATATCAAATTAAATAAACAGCAGAATGTCCTCATCAGTAGGTCATGGAGAAGGCAGAAAAGCCAAAGCTACACAACTCCTTTTTTTGTCAATATACCAAAACTTTTATGTTGATGTCATTATGTCACTGAAAGTCATTTTGAGGGAAACAATCACATTATTTTACAAATTTTCATTTTATCGCTTGCAATTTGCACAGAAATTTGATGGAAGTACAGCTGCTGGTTGATTAACTTCTACATATGTCATTTATATTTGTGACTGTTGATTGGCTGGATTTTATCAACATTTTAGCTCTGAGGCTGATTTGCGTTTGCATTGAATATATTTGAGTTGGAGGTTATGTAGAAAACTGAATGAGAGCGAAGCAAAATTTCAAAAAAACAAAAGGAAGCAAGTTAGAAGAGAAGAATTTAATGAAAAAAAATCCAAAATAATTCCAAATAATGAGATTTTTTAGTTCACTGTCTGAGGCGTTAACACCAGCTGTTCTTTAGTTTGCTCCAGCCAAGAGGATTAAAAACACTCACTTAGATTGTAAAACTGTTTGTAATGACTTGTTGTGTCTAGGTTTACTTTACCAGCAAAGTACATTAAATACATAGACATTCACATTTAGTTCATTGTACTGTTGACTACACTGATAAAAAAAAATAGAGATTACCACATTATAGATAAGTGATTTTTTTGGAAACATGCAGATTATGTTTAGAAGGCCCCTACAATGGAAAATAAAAAAAAAAAATGATGTACAAGGTTAAAAATGTACCTTTTCACCATCACTTTCCAGTTAATGCAGTCCATAGAAACTAAACTGCAGCCTGTTTAGCTCCCATTCACACTGAAGTTATGAGGAGTGTTTCAGCTCAGACTGCTTTTTGAATGAGAAACAGTAAAGGGTAGCCAATCAGAACCGTGCTCATTTACATATATCAGTCATAAAGTCACAGTAACAAAAACAGCCTGTTTAATTCTAAGGGATAAAGAGAGGTTGGAATATGGCCATGCAACATGATTATGACCACATTTGGTGCATAAAACCACACCAATGTTATAATTGTGAGGAAAAAGAAAAATACAAGAAAAATGTGAATAAAAAATTAAAACCTGCATTACTCAAATTAGCACAGCTAGCACAGCTACTGACTGCTCTACTGTAAGGTTTTCATAGGTCTGCATAGGGAGACAGTTCCAGTAAAGTAAGTGACACTGTGACATATCAGGTCACATGTATGACACTGAAGTCTGAAAGGATAACGACTCAGTCGTCTAATGCTACATATCAACTTGTTGTTTGCAGTGGTGGACGAAGTACACAAACCATGTACTTGAGTTAAAGTAGAGATACCCAGGGTAAAATATTACTCCAGTAAAAGCAGAAGTTCCTCCCTTTAGACCTCCACTTGAGTAAAAGTGCAAAAGTATTTTCCTTCAAATGTACTCAAGTATCGAAGGTAAAAGTACTAAAAGATTAATTATGACTCTAATGTCCTATTATCATTTTTTTAACAAGACTCTTGCTTCATTAGCTCATTATAGGTGAAAATACTCCAGTGTCACTCTTTTAATAGAATGTCATTAATTAGTCTGACACTGATGTCTATTAAAATTATCAAAAGCACAAAACACTGAAGGCAAAATATTATCATTGGGTAGAACTGAGTGACTGAAATAACTTTTTGCGGACAAGTAAAATTTCGGTTTAAGATTTATTTGCAACTTAGTTTAAATAAAAATGAGTTTAAATTATTAATTTAATAAAAACTTAAAATTGCTTTTTAACACAGGTTCACAAATGAGTTTTCCTTTACTAAACTGCATCTGTAGGTCTCTGTTCATGAACATAAACTAGCCAAAACAAATTTACTATAAAATGAAATAGAGTTTGTATAAATTCAGAAAAAAGACACGTCAGTCAAAACTGCTTATGTACATATTTCTATATTGTGGTCTGTTTACGCAAAGTTAGGTTAGAGTCAGGAGTTTCCTCCATCATTATGTTGAACAGACACTCCCAAAATTTTACACTGCTGCACTGACGTTGAACCGTATACTTGCACTGGGTCGGTATGTCCAACAGGTCAAAACAAGCTCAAAACAAAGTGACCGCTGTGCCCTGATTGGTGTTCTTGCTTTGAGCTTCTTTCATTTTGACATGTTACGTTTTTATACACACATAAACCAAAAGGAATGACAGATTTCTCATAATGTAGTGGAGTAAAAAGGAAGATATTTGACTTTGAAATGTAGTGGAGTGAAAGTAAAAAGTCACCCAAAATGGAAATACTTCAGTAAAGATACACGAAAAAACTACAGTACAGTAACGAATTACATTTACTTCGTTACTGTCCGCCACTGGTTGCCTGCACAAATCTTCAGTGTCATTAAACAGATGATTTAGCCAAAAATGAAATTTACCTTATCTTACAGTAAAAATGTTTGGCATCTGAAGTTTGCTTCTTTACTTTTACACTGGAGCTATGAAGCTAATGTACAAAAATGAACAAACACAGTACAACGTGTAATACAGTGTCAGAAAGTACATAAGTAAGTCTGTTTGAGGTCACTGAACAACTCAACATGGTTTGAGGCAACTGTGTTATGATTCAGGTTTGCAGTTTGCATTACACTAATTGGTATAACACAGCTATATTAGCCCTGTAGCTCCAGTGCAAAACTAAAGAAGCAAACCTCAGGCAGTGAACACATCTCTGCTCACCAACAACATTTGCCGTGAGAGGAAGGCTGTGTAAATTAGATTTTTGGGCAAATTATCACTTTAACCAGTCTGGACGGCTGATGGCCCATGTTTGTCTGCAGTCTGCATCCTGCAGGACCCGTCAGACATGGTGCTGGAGGAGGTGGACTCAGACTGGGAGAGGCAGCAGATGGAGCAGAGGGATGCTGAAGCACAGAAGAAGGGAGACCCACAGGGAGTGCAGAGCAGCCCCCTGCTGGAGGCCCTGCCCAGAGTTTTGCCTGAGGTGTTGGCCATGGATCAGGAGGACGCTGAGACCCAGACTGAGGGCTGGACCCCGCTGGTGGAGAACATCAAACGCGAGGCTGAGGAAGCCGCCATGGTCTCCATGCAGGAGAGGTGAGGGCGTGACGTCAGTATCGGACTTTGTATGAGCCGAATGAGACCTTTGGGGGACTGCAGGATAATTAATGATATTCTGTTTAGTTCATGCAAAAAAGAAAAATTTAAATTACATTTATCCAATGAGATAGATAGATAGATAGATAGATAGATAGATAGATAGATAGATATCTGTTGATGATGGATGGATGGATGGATAGATAGATAGCATAATTCAGTAGTTAAGATGTAAACAAAGCCATTCGGAGTGGTTTGATGTGAAATATTTTTGTAGAGAAACACACAGACTCAGATTTCCTTACAGTGGTGCTGATAGGAACCAGGGGTCACAATGTCTGCAACACAAATATAGCCATTTTATTTACTATCCAAAACCACCAGTGAACCTACACGAGTCTTCTGACTTTTCATATATAATGCTGATGATGGTAAAATAGTGATAAATGTTAAAAAAGAAGTTTCCTTTGGGGAGGATTTTGCTTTAAAATACCCTGCATGTACATCACTGTGAACGATTATGAGGTTCTTAAAATGACGCATTTCACATCAAACCTCTATCAATGACATCTTAAGTACTTAATTATGCAGACGTTTTGAAAAAATAGTGGAAATCCCTTTCAAGTGATATTAAATAGCTCATGTGGTTTCTGATACTGTATAACACTGTTATCTATAAACAGGGACTAAATTACGGACAGAATTCAGGCTGCTGCTGCTGATTTTAGCTTTACTGTACTTTTATGTAAATTTGATTTTTTGCTATGACATCAGCGTTTTGTGTCACTGTTTTATGATGGTGTGTGTGTGTGTGTGTGTGTGCGTGTGTGTGTGTGCGTTCAGGTTGGAGCAGGAGCATTTGGAGGCAGCGCGGATGGCGGAGGAATTGGCCCTCCAGGCTGCAAAGCTCGCAGTCAGACAGCTGGAGGAGGAGCACACTGGACTTATCAACATGGAGGCCGAACTGTCTGAACCAGACAACGGAGAACAGTGAGTCACACACACACACACACACACACACACACACACACACACCTTATAATACACTACAATTCAAGATTGTAGTCACCATTCAAATTCAGTCAAATTATGATGGTTGCAGATAAAATACTAATCTGCTTGTTGTGATCTAAGGTTTCCAATCATAAGTAGTAGCTGTAAACCGTTTTAAAAACAGCAATAATGAAATTAATATCCAGAACAAAGTTCTTTTGAAATTAATAACCTGAAATTCTAATAAAACGAATTTTCAGAATGAAGCTCTTATAAAATCAACATCTAGAACACATCAAAGTTATAAGTGGTTATCAAATTTTGAGACTAACGAAAAGTGATTGTAAGCACATTGTAAGTATATTTACAAATTTATCATTTAATAATTTATTTTGTTGCCAGAAAACTTTGAATGAAACATCTAAAAATACCTTTTGTTGTATATTTTGTAATATTTAACGCACCTTGCATTTGGCGGACGCTCTTATCCAGAGCAACTTACAATTTGATCATGATTTTTTTTTTTTTTTTACACAGCTGGGCAAAGGTAGTGTTAGGGGTCTTGCCCAAGGACTCTTATTGGTGTAGTGGAGGGTCCGTGCCTGAGTGGGGGATTGAACCCTAGTCTAAAGTGTAGAAGGCAGAGGAGTTAACAACTACACTAAACCAACCACCTCTTTATCTGTTCAACCTTTAAATGTTTAATGTAAATGTAAAACTTTTCTTCAACAACACTAAAACTAAGCCCTTTGAATTATTTGTTTATATGGAAAGTGAATTAAATATTTTTTTGATTTATAGTTATTGGAAGTACACTGAAACTGCATCGGTGCTGCAGAGAAAATAGAAACTCACTACAACACTGTGCATGTTATTACATGTTATTATTATATAAAGTAACAGCAGCTTTAATACAAGTTATTCCAAACCTTTGAATACTAGTCTACACAAAAATACAAAAATGTCCAGATTACACAGCATCAATCTAAAATAGCCAGTAAAGGCCACAAAGCAGGACAATTCCAGCTTCCTGTAGGGCATCCTGTAGTGTAACGTCCTGAGTGTTAGTCTCGTCCCCTGCAAACTCATCTATATGTCTGATAGTACTGAGATCTAGGAGTGTGACCAAAGTGCTGTTTGTCTTTAAAGAGCCTGCGGCCAATGTTCTCCTTAATACATACAAACAGATAGTGCTCAGTATTCAAATGCTCACTGTTTGTTTTACAAAGACTGTCCAATATCCAGGAGGAAGAGAATGAAGAAGATCCAGAGTAAGTCCCTCCATTCCCTCCTTCCTTTGGCCTCCCTCGCTTCTTTCCTTGTTCCTGCTTCTGCAGATGTTTGACTGAATATGCCTCGCTTGTTGCACTTCTTTTCTATGCCATTCTGCACCAGTTGCACCACCTGCTGTTTCCTTTCTCGGCCTGTGGACTCTCTTGTGCCTTTGTGGAGCTGAGACAGTGTTTGTTTGTTCTCTCTGGCTTGTCGTACAGGTTGCAGCCACTGCGTGAGGAGAGTGAGGAGGAGAGTGGAGATAGTAAAAACGCTGAGTAAGAGCCTCTATTCTCTGAGCTGGACTGCTTGCAGCCAGCAGCCTTGAAGACAAAGAAAAAATAGCTCCCAAACTCGGACAATGCTAAATACATCAGGGGTCACTGTGGTCAAAGCTATTTGTTCCAACCATGTACAAAAACATCTGTTTTGGAGATTTTTGGCTCACAAATGAATCATCCTTTTGGATCATTTGTTTTCAACTAATTCACTTTTCAGTCCAACAGAATCATTTTTTACCTCTATGTTTGTGTTTAGTATAGAAGGTAGAAGATAGGAGAAAAGATAGATAGATAGATAGATAGATAGATAGACAGACAGGCAGACAGACAGACAGGCAGACAGACAGAGTGAGTGATTGACTGACTGACACAGACAGACAGATAGAGGGACAGGCAGTCAAATAGACAAACAGACATACAGATAGATTGATATACAGAGAGAGAGAGAGTGAGATAGACATACAGACAGACTTAATGACTGACTGACAGACAGACAGATGGACAGACACACCTACAGACAGGCATACTGATAGATAGATAGATAGATAGATAGATAGACAGACAGACAGACAGACAGACAGACAGACTGACTTAACGACTGACTGACTACCTAACAGATGGACAGACAGACAGACAGACAGGTAGGTAGATAGATAGATGACTGACTTAATGACTGACTGACTGACAGACAGACAGATGGACAGACATACCTACAGACAGACAGATATACAGACAGGCATGCTAATACATAGATAGATAGATAGATAGATAGATAGAGAGATAGAGAGATAGATAGAGAGATAGACATACAGACAGACAGACTTAATGACCAACTGACTGACAGACAGACAGATGGACAGACACACCTACAGACAGGCATACTGATAGATAGATAGATAGACAGACAGACAGACAGACAGACAGGCAGGCATACAGATAGATAGATAGATAGATAGATAGATAGATAGATAGATAGATAGTCAGTCGGTCAATTTAATGAAACTTTGCATCACTAATCTGTTTCACTAATTAGGCTTCCCTTTTTCATAAAGCCCTTAGTAAAGTCTGATGGGTTCTATAGGGTTGGAACAAATACCACATTTAGAACCTTATTGAGTCACAGCCCAGACAAATTAATATCCAGATGAAAAGAACAGCTCATTACTTGCTTTTGCTTTTGTGTCTGTAGAGTACAGAAGCCTCAAACTTATGTGCAGCCAGCCGTCTTTACAGCTAAACCTGCGCAGTACTGCTGAAGGTTGAGTGCTCGAGCCTGATTGCTTGTGCGCAGCCTGTGCTACATGCTCTACTGCTTCTAGCTTGCGAGCTTTTCAGTATTTTTAAAGAGACTTTGGGATTTCCTTTTTTTGTTGGATTTCCTAGTCTGACTATTTAAAGTACAGAGGAAGACTTTTTAAATGAGAAATCCAGACATCCTTTTCAGCGAGTGTGGCAAACAGTGTTATTCTGCATTGGTAAATCACAAAATCTACATTAGTGGAAACTTCAGGTTGATTATTGTGGGTGATTTTTGATTGCTCTGCCCTGTTAGCCATTGGTTGGCTGTTGTTGTAAAAGAGCTGTAGGTCTTATCATGTCTGGACAATACAAACCTCTGCCCACACTTCTCCAGACTATATGGATCATTCTGCTGAATTGGTTAAAAGTAAGAGTCCAAAACCCTGGACTGTCAACTGATTTGGACTTCAGACTAAAATGTTTTTGCTTTGAGTGACCTTCTACCTTAATTATGCTTATTTTATCAAAACAAATAATTAAACATTCTTTTTAGTCACTACCAAAACAATCATAACACATGGGCTCCCGAGTGGCGCAACCGTCTAAGCGTTGGCCCCATCATCAGGAGATCGCGAGTTCGATCCCTGGTGATGCTACAGCCATCCGTAGCCGGGAGTCCGAGAGAGCACAATTGGCCTCGCTCTCTCTGGGTGGGTAGGATGGCCGATGCTAGTCAGCGCGATGCTAGTCAGCGCAGGCGTCTGTTAGCTGACGTAGCAGATCTGGCGGTTGGCGCTTTCCTCCGAGCGCGTTCGGCTGTCCAATGACGTTGCGTGAGCGGCAGTTCGAAAAGAAGCGGTGGAGCTTCACAGGTCTCGGAGGAAGCCTGTGTTAGCCTTCACCCTCCTAGCGTTGATAGAGTCCTAACTAGCGGGTGGAATTGGAGACGACTAAATTCGGGAGAAAATCGGGTAAAAATTAAAAAAAAAACACTACTGAAACTTTACCAACTGTTTCAGTAGTGAACGTTTCGGTAGTGACATATTTAGGTAATTTTGAGCAGAAAAACGCTAGCCAGCACATGACTAGCAAACACAGCTCTGCAAAGTTGTACACACATTAAATCATCATAATTTTATTAAAACACACAAAAGGTTACCTAATTGCAGAAAATATGTGTTTCAGTAGTGACAGTTCTTAATGTTCTATGCTGATCTTCAGAGTTTGGGACACATTTACTTTAAAACAATGCTAACTGCTCACCATGTGGCCATGAGGGACAGGGATGCAGTCTCACTTTCTGCTCCAAAATGCAGGGGCCTGTGGACTATGAACAGGGGATTATGGGGACTATGTATTTCGGTAGTGACATGAAAACCTGAGACAGAATTTTTTTTTTTTAATTACATTTTTTTTTTTATTTAAAAATTAAACCATTGACAAATCTACATCTTTCAACTTCACTTTAAATGATTTGGAACAAACACCTCCCATTAGAAAGTACCCCATAAATTTTGTATATATTTAGCTTATTACTATCTCAGTTAGTGCATTGAGTTGAAATAGATCAAAACATAATCCTTGTAAATACCTAAGGTCTGAAAAGTTGTTTTTTTTAATACTGGTGTTTTTACTATGAGACCTCAGTTTGAAGTAATTCTGTAAAATGGTCCATATAGTGCATTTATAAATGAAGAATCAGTCGGATAGAACAGATTCAATTTGCTGAAGAAGAAAATGATACCTGACCATGTGGAAGCATCTTAAGGCTCAATCCCATTTCTTATTTTTACCCATACCCCTTGTTTTCATGCCTCACCTTGGCCCTTGGAACTGAGTTACAAGGAGTAGTGGTTAAAATCTCCCCTATGAAATGAACCCTCAAATAAAAAGAGCATTACTTCATTAACAGCTACTAGCGCTGTTCTGTAGGCGACCCTGCCAGTCTACAGTGACAGCAGAGGAGGGTAAAGTTCAGCTCCTCACTGCTGGGCTTTAGTTACATTTAGGGCATCATATGATTTCAAAGAGGGGGGCAATTATTTATTATCACCCACCCCTAATTCTTCAGTGATATGAAGCTGAAGTCAGATATTCACCAGCTTTTTGTCTGAATTTTCCCGTTTCAAGTTAAATGTAACTGCTGCACCATTTAAGGTGGAACGGAAAATTTAGCCAGCTAGCAACCGAGATATCAGCACACTACTAGCAATTTTTTATGTTATGTTATGAAAAAAATGACCATAATACATTGAATCATATTAAACTAAGATGATACGATGTTTATCATTATTTTTTTAACAGAGAAAATTCTCACATTTGTGGGTTTCTTTGGTTGTTGTGCAGCTGTCTTACCAGTTTTTCTTTTGTTCTCATATCACTCTGTTTGGAGTCTCTGAAAAACCTCCATTTGGAGGGCCATGTAGCCCTAACACTTCCCCCTACCCCTCTATCTCAGCAAAGATCAGGATACCCTACCTCGAGGTGTGAACGTGCAAAAGGGCTAAGGGCTAAGTGGTGGGGCGAGGGGTTAAAGTGGGACTGGGCCCAAATGTATACAACAGATCTAATATTTCCAACTTCAAGAAAATTACAGGATTATACCGATGTCATTACATAGCATAGTCATTAATAAGCTTTTAATTTCCTTTATAACTAGCCTTTTTATTTTATTTAAATGAAAGAATATTTCCCAGAGCAGTACAGATCATTGACTAAGTGAAAAGTAGATTAAATAATCATGTAATATTCTTAGAACAATCCCATAAGGAGATGTAGTAGATGTATTGCCTACAGTTGCTCACTTGCCCACCTGTTGGCCATGTATGCAGAGAGTCACTTGTGCCTAAAAGGCTGAGTACAGGACTTCAGGTTTACTGGCCGTCCTCTAGGACCGCTTTCTGCTCCATCTACAGGCGCCTAAACTTTCCATCTCCTGTTGTCTCATTTTGGCCTGGACATTGTTTTTGAGAAATGACCACAGATGCTAACTACTGGTTTCTCCCCCCTCTGCTTTGCCACGTGTTAATCTGACTCATCCCCTCTGAAGGAATGTAGCCTGCACAGCAAGCTTTTAGGCCAAGAGGCTGCATAGAGTTCAGACTGACCGCTGCATTCTTCATGTGGAATATACTGAAACTTTCTTTTTGTTACCACTTTCTTTTCTTCTGCAAACTCACTTGCCAATGTAAACAGTGCAGATATTAAGAGGTATGTTATAAAACATAAACACTAGTTTCATAGATTACATCCTGAAAGTGCCTGTATCGTGGAAAGCTGAATTTCCTTTGCTTGTTTATAATATATATAAATATACCTTTCACTGGCCAGTCCATATACAGTCCATATATGGAAAAAGCTTACAGTAGTTTAGCCCCACCCACTCACACTGAAGTTATATGGAGTATTTCAGCTGTTTGACTGAGGTACAAACATGGCTTCCAATCAGAACAGAGATCGTTCACATGCAGACACAGCAACAGAAACAACATGTTTAATTCTAAGAGATTAATTCTAAGATTAAGAGAGGTTGGAAAATGGTCATGAGCAAATTAGCTTTGGTTTTTGATGTGTCAAAAGAGAGACCTCAGGGAGAAAAATATAATAACAGAAAAATGAAGGACATGTTCTATATAGAACCTGTACTATATAGAACCCTTTTTGCAGGGCCATGGGGCCTAACTGATATGAAAATTTTGTGACTGATATTGATTTTTATGGGCTAAAAATCCAGATAACTAATAATATTGGCCATTATAATTTTAAAATAATATTTTAGATTTTAATTTTCTGCTACAATAGTCTTAGTTAAACTGCTTTACGGACTGAGTGTTAAGCAGAATTCTTTTTGGTTTCTTCTTTTTCTTTTATTACCTCTAATTTATCTTATTTTTAATCAGTTTTCTTAATAGAAAAGGATTTTTTAAACTAAAATGTCATTCTTGTGTTAAAGGCTAGGTGTTGATAAATTTAACATGTATCTGTTATTTTTACCATGATGGTGTTTCATTTTCAGATTTATTAGTTCATTCTGTATGGCTATATGGTCCATATAGTGCATTTATAAATGAAGAATCAGACCCAATCCTATTTCTTATTTTTACCCCTCCCCTTTGTTTTTGAGTGTCACCTTGCCCCTTGGAACTGAGTTACAAGGGGTAGTGGGTGAAATCTTCCCTACGAAATGGGACCCTCAAATAAAAAGAGCATTACTTCATTAACAGCTACCAGCGCTGCTCTGTAGGCGACCCTGCCAGTCTGCAGTGACAGCAGAGGAGGGTAAAGTTCAGCTCCTCACTGCTGGGCTTTAGTTACATTTAGAGCATCTTATGCCTTCAAAGAGGGACAATTATTTATTATCGCCCACCTCTAATTCTTCAGTGATATGAAGCTGAAGTCAGATATTCTCCAGCTTCTTGTCCGAATTTTCCAGTTTCACATTAAATGTAACTGCTGCACCATTTAAGGTGGAACAGGAAATTTGGCTAGCTAGGTACTGAGACGTCAGCACACTACTAGCGTTTTTTATGTTATGTTATGAAAAAAATGACCATAATACATTGATATAATCAATGTATTAATCATGTTCAAAATTTTGACAGGTTTTGTTGATTGAATGAAAATAAATATCACATTCTCTGCAGAGAACAGTGGCATTTTTTCTGCAAATTTTAGAGCACAGTTTCTCCAAACTTTACTGTAGGCATTATGCATTCCAGTAGGTAGCATTTTCCTGGTATCAACCAAACCCAGATTTCGTCTTTCAGACTGCCAGATAGTGAAGCGTGATTTATCAACCCAGAGAACAAGTTTTCTCTGTTCCAGAGTCCAGTGCTTTACGCCACTCCAGCTGACGCTTGGCATTGTGCATAGTGATCTTAGACTTGTGTGCAGCTGCTCAGCCATTGAAACCCATTTCATGAAGCCCCTAACGCACAGTTCTTGTGCTGATGTTGCTTCCAGAGAGCTCTGTAGTGCGTGAAGCTACAGAAAATGTATGATTTTTATGCAGTAGATATATCAGCGCTCCACTCTTTGACTATGCATGGTGCACCGCTTTGTGGCTGAGCTGTTGGTTCTCCTAGATGCTTCCATTTCACAATTATAGCTCAGTTGACCAGGGCAGAAATTTCACAAACTGTCTTGTGGCAAAATTGGCATCCTATGACAGTGCCACATTTGAAGTTACTGAGCTCTTCGGTGTGATCCGTTCTACTGTGAATATCTGTCTATGGAGATTACATGGCTATGTGCTTGATTTTACACACCTGTTAGCAATGAGTGTGGCTCAAACACCTGAACTTAATAATCAGCAGGTGTGTCCACGTACTTTTCTGTGGCTCATAATGGGCTTCCCAGGGTGCCCTTTACATACAGAGATCACGAGTTTTAATCCAGGCCAAAAAAATCTGTATCATTTCACTGATATATATCACATGTACACCGATCAGCCATAACATTATGACCACCTCCCTTGTTTCTATGCTCGTTGTCCATTTTATCAGCTCCACTTACTATATAGGTGCACTTTGTAGTTCTACAGTTACAGACTGTAGTCCATCTGTTTCTCTGCATACTTTGTTAGCCCCCTTTTACCCTGTTTTTCAGTGGTCAGGACCCCCATGGACCCTCACAGAGCAGGTACTATTTAGGTGGTGGATCATTCTCAGCACTGCAGTAACACTGATGTGGTGGTGGTGTGTTAGTGTGTGTTGTGCTGGTCTGAGTGGATCAGACACAGCAGTGCTGCTGGAGTTTCTACACACCTCAGTGTCACTGCTGGACTGAGAATAGTCCACCAACCAAAAATATCCAGCCAACAGCGTCCTGTGACCACTGATGAAGGACTAGAGGATGACCAACACAAACTATGCAGCAGCAGATGAGCTATCGTCTCTGACTTTACATCTACAAGGTGGACTGACAAGGTAGGAGTGTCTAATAGAGTGGACAGTGAGTGAACACAGTGTTTAAAAACTCCAGCAGCACTGCTGTGTCTGATTTACTCGTACCAGCACAACACACACTAACACACCACCACCACGTCAGTGTTGCTGAGAATGATCCACCACCCAAATAGTACCTGCTCTGTACAGGGGCCATGGGGGTCCTGACCACTGAAGAACAGGGTAAAAGGGGGCTAACAAAGTATGCAGAGAAACAGATGGACTACAGTCTGTAACTGTAGAACTACAAAGTGCACCTATATAGTAAGTGGAGCTGATAAAATGGACAACGAGCGTAGAAACAAGCAGGTGGTCATAATGCTGTGCCTGATTGGTGTATATTGTTCAGACACAATCACAAGCGATTAGTATAAATCAATATTAGCCAGCCAAATTATTGGTCCGGCTTTACCTTAGATACTCATATGTTATGCATCTCATATATTGACCCAGCATGCAGTATTTCATCTCACATTCTGTAAATTATTATGGCTAATTTTTAATATACTGTGCCACCATGGCAACAGTTTATTACAGATTCATCTCCCAGCATCTCTTGACACTGACACGGCATAACCCTCTTGCCGGTTGCCGTGGTGAATTATCCCTGCTTTGAGCAAACAAGGCCAGATGTACTAAACTAATCTGTCAGGGATGATTGGATATGACTCCCTGTAGATAGATATTGCATTATGGGTAAAAGCAGTGAGGTAAACTACCTGAGGCTGCTGATCCATAGAGCTCGAACTTGAAGCAGTTGCTGTCATCAAAGTGAGTAAATCTAAAGAATCTTTAATATTTTGACCTCAGTAAAGGGAAATTACAGTGATTTTTTTAAAAAATTGACATAATAATTCAGTCACTTAGGTAAACACTCAGTCTCAGAGTGGTTTGATGTGAAATGTTTTTGAGCAACTTACAGACTTCAGATTTCTTTATAATGGTGGTGATAGGAACCAGGAGTCACCAAGTCTACAACACATATAGCTATTTTATTTACTATCCAAAACCACCAGTGAACCTACAGGTGTCTTCTGAGCTTTTATATGAAATGTTGATGAGGGTAAAATAGTGATAAATCTGTAAAAATACATTTTCTTTGGGGTCTATTTTGCATCACAACACCCTACATGTACTTGTAGCTTGAATAGATTAAAAGAATTAAGCCAAAATCTTTTCAAAATGCTCAGAAAACGATGTCTCACATATCAGTCAGTGTAATAACCATTTCATGTAATAACTTTCTGTGAGGGAGTTTTTAGAGGCATTAAACTCTTCAGACGTCTGGTTCCTACCACCACCGCTGTGAACTATTCTGACCCAGGAAGTTTCTCCAGAACGGAGCATTTACACCAAACCACTCTGACTGGCTTTGTTTACATCTTAACAATTTATTTGTGCAGAAATTTTGGAAAATCAATGGACAAATTTCCCTTTAATATTGACTTGATTGACCATTATTCTGTCAAATTCTAAAACTTACTATCCAGTGACTATTTAATAGTTCAATAACTACAATGGAGTTAATTCATAAGATATATATTTATGAGCTTTAATAATCTTTAAAAAAATGTACTAAAAAGAAGACAGTGTTATTACAGTGTTATTATGTTAGTTTAAATTACATACAGTACAATGTGGTTCACTGTGCTCAAGGCAGTGTTACGTTCCTACAAAACAAGCTGTTTTCAGGTATTTTCTAATGTGATTTTTGCACGAGAGCACATGGATCAGCTTGTGTCTGCCTGAATGGTCAGCTGTCCTAATCCAATCATTCCAAATCTGATTTTTCCGAGGTCTTCCCAGTTACACTTCACATACTGCAAGAACTAATACAGCTGTATGCAAAAGTTCGGGCACCTCTGGTCAAAAGACATATATAGAGAAGAAACTCCTGCATGTTTTAATGCACAATTATTGTTTATTTTCTTAATTTAACAAAGGTCAGTAGATCTGTAGCCTGTGGTGAAATTATGGCACATTTTAAAAATGCCATATTTAAGTTTGTTCCCTGTAAAAGATGCGTTATTTTCACTTTTCAAAAACATGTAATTGGATTGGGAGTGTTCAAGCTCTTGCACACAACTGTATCGTGGAAAGTAAAAGTGTCTTAATTCTAGTATTAATTCTTAATATTTTTTTCATTATAAGATTATTGCAGGAATATTAAGATTATTCAAGCTCTTTATATAAAGTGATGTTATGATGTCAACTTATTTACAGCACTGGCAGATTATTTTTAGTTCTTTTATGCATTATTTATTGAACTATGCAAGACTTACTGACAAAATGACTTAAAATAAATATCTCGAAATGTATTGAAATGCTTTACAGTGTTCTTACAACAACCCTAAAATGCCAAATATTTGACATGTTGCCAACATCTAAGACGCTTTCACTTTCCAGGCGATTGGTTTCCAGTTTCTGGTGATTGGTGGTTTATATTGCTCTCATGCTACACCCTCTCAAACTCCGTCTGCAGATATCTGGTGGACGTCTGCCCAGCCGAGGAGCTCGAAACCCATGAAACTGAGGATACAGTGGACAGCCCCCCCAGGGCGGAGTCACCAGAGCCACCGAAGATAGCCCAACCAGAGACTGCCAGAGAGGTACCTGCGCCAGCAAAGAGGGTTTCCATACCTGTAGTGACCACCCAGCCTCAACCTGCCACCTCAGACCCCTCACCTCAAGCTGGTGTCCAGGTAATAATGCATAACACAATAAACAGAGCCAATAACTTGGGATACCTATTTATTCTGACTGACCTAACTAACGGTCATTTTCTGTTTTTACAGGAAGAGGAGACTCAAGGAGAGGGTTGTGGAGGTGAGTGGAGATCGTAAACATCATGCTCCTATGTTATATGTAGACATGGAGTTTTAAACAGTGTTCGAATGGAATGCACTACTCATACGCATGTTGTTTGTGTAAGTTTCTATGTCATGTTTATTCGAAATCTTCGTTATGGTTAAAAACGATGTAGAAATCAGTTTCATTTTAGGTTATAAACTGTCATTGTTAAAGGATTTTAGTATACTCACACCTTATCGGACATTCTTGCAGTCGATAAGCCAAGAAATGTTTGGTGTCTGAAGTTTGCTTCTTTAGTTTTGTACTGGAGCTATGGGACTAATGTAGCTAACAAGTATTGGAAGATTATAGCCCACCAATTAGCATTGTACTAACTATCTAAACCACCGCACACCTGACTCAAACCGTGTCAAACTCTAAATAATCTCTTATAGACTTGCTAATGTTGTCTCTGGCACTGTATGACACACTTTTATCTTATATGCACATTCAAAGGTTTGGAATCAGCTATCAAATCATATTAATAATTGTAATTCAATAATGACATATACAGTGTAGATTGAAACGTTATAGACTACATGCCAGAATGTGAACTGATGGTTTATTCAAAGTATTTTGGGGACAGGAAGTAGCAAGTATTATTACATAATAAACTGTAATTATCAATTTATAGTAATTTCTTATTATGAAATTACTATGTATAGCTATTTGATCAGCAAGATTTGGTCAGTGCTTTTTAAATTTGAGACATTCTGTACATTCATTTCATTACGAGTTTATTGTCAGTACTATCCATCTTTCTCAAATGTTATAGATTCATCTACAGCTCTGTTCATTATTTTTATAGTTTCCTATAAATTGGTTGAAACTTGTATAATATCGGCATCATATTAGAATCATTGTACACATGCATCTACAACAAAATGGGTTATATTAATGAAAACAGTGATTCCAAAGTGATTTGAATGGTGGTATTAAACTATTCAACAGTAGTTTACATATGTTCGTAAATATGTTGCTGTTGTCGGAAGAAAACCTTGTATCACTATTTTTGTCGTTTTTCAGTTTTTGACATAATTTGAAAATGCATGTTGCCCTTTACATTGTGTGTACATTTCATGAAGAATGGACCAAAAGAAACGGCCCAAAATGACTTGGAAAGGATTCTGGTTCCATTGACTTACATTAAAAGTAAAGTAGTGTTTTTTCCTTCTCCTGTAAAGTTACCATTTTGGAGATACGAGGTTTTCTTCTGACAACAGTAATATATATATATGCATTTAGTATCAGTCTTTTCTATATATATATATGTGTGTGTAAAATGCAAAAAATCAAAGACCACCCTTCACTTGTTTAACCTCCAGCCTAAACAGCAATTAAGTACAAGTTCATTTTTCAGCATTTTCTTTACCTTTATTACAGCTTCCACTCTTTTCAGGAGACTCACTTATATTTTTTCAAAGAAATCCACAGGGATATTTTTCCACAACTCTAAAGTTCAGTCTTTCTAAATGTAATTCCAAACTCTTCTATTGATGTTGAGGTCTGGACTCTGAATTTGCACAAGTTTGTGTTAGTTTTTTACTTCACAGCTCCAGTGCAAAACTGACGATGCAAACTTAGGCCGATCGACTACGTGTAAAAAAAACGACTCCTTTAAAATCATTGCACTTATTTAGAATGAGGCAGCATCATCACTGGTTGAGATTGATCATGTTTTTGTAGTTTCTTCACTTACTCACATTTGCAGTAACACACAGCACTTCATTGTCTGCCTGCCCTGCAGTGCCCTCTAACTGCTCCACAGTAAAGAGTTGGATTCTGCGCATCCCTCATGCTACACATTGCTTCAATAGCTTCAACCAGCTGCTGAAGAGAGGCAACTTCACCTCCCCGAAGTTGCCCTCCCTGCCTCCAGACCTGCTGCTGCTGTACCAGGAAGTCGCTCAGCTCCCCAAACAGGCACAGCAGCGGTGCCAGAACATCTTCCTGCGCCTCAACAGCCTTAAGCCCCAGTAGGATGCCTAAGCAGCAAAGCATAGACCTGGAGTTAGAGTCTGTAGATAGAACATTTATAAGCAAACGCACCCCCACAACTCCCTCATCACCCTGCATCACCAAGCCTGTGCCAAAGTGCCTCAGCGTCCCTAACAACCTCAACCTTATCCCCGAAGAGCTTCTGCCTCAGGCTGCTCCTTACACAGAGCTGCGCTGGCCCACAAAACAGCACTCAGGTGAAATAGCCACTTGTGGTGTGGTGTCTTGTCCTGTCTTTTGCCGTGCTGTGCTAGGTTGTGCTGTGTTGTACTAGCCTACCTGTTTAGTGCCATGTTAAGAGTATTTGTGAAAACCGTGGGTGTAAATGTCTGATAGCACAACATTATGATTCTTTAGGAAACAATTCATGCATCATGGAATCTCAAATTTTGCCACAATTCAGTCATTTTTGTATGATGCAAGATTATAATACTGTGCGAAAGTCAGGTACAACCCTTCATTCGTGTAATTTCCAGCTAAAACAGCCGTTAAGGACAAGTTATTCATGTTTCAGCATCATGCAGAAGTCAGAACGCTACACAGAAGCCTCAATAACTAAATATAATAGAAATATAATATAAACCTTTGCTTTTATTACATGTTTAATACTTTTTGGAAGACTTGCTTTCAGTTTTTCAAAGTTCAGTCTGAATTTTTCTATTTTTCACAATCCAAGTAATCCCAAACACAGTGGTGTTGAGGTCTGGACTCTGGGGTGATCAGTCCATTGTTCAGCTTCTTTGTTTGATGTGTCCGTCTCCTTTTCTCAGTGAGGTTCTTCTTGAACAGCTACACATCCTTTCAGACCCACAGCGCTGAGTCGTCTTCTCACAGTGGAAGGATGGACAGAAACACCTGTGGATGTTTTCAGATCTGAAGCAGCTTGATTTTCTCCTCTCTCTCAGAGATGAAAGCTATAAGTGCTGTTTATCTGATGGGGGCAGTTTTGGTGTCTACCAGGTCTTCCAGGTGGTTGTTAGGAGTCCCATTTTCTCTGTTTCTTGATCACTTTTTTTAAGATCCGGTTTTGGAAACTTCTGCTTTTATATTTACTTTCTTTAGACTATTTTCTTGTGCAAGTGGATTATCTAATGTCTGGTTTGTACAGAAATATCTCCTGAAAAATGACTTTTGCACAGTATTGTATTTCTGGAAAAAAACAGTAAATGCACAGATGTGATTGGAGGAACTGTATATATAGCAGTGGCATATACACATCAAAAACAATCCAAGCTTAATGTTTCCTTTACGTTTATTTTTAAGAACTGACATATTTCAGTAATACTATAAAAATTAGAATTCATTGTCTGGGTTTTGAAAATTTCCCTATAATTGTATTTTGGCCAAAATAATGCAACTTTTTAAAATTGATTATAATCAATAGTGATATCCCAAAATTAGCACTCTTGCATCACCACACTCAAACTGATGCATTAGAATTATCTATACATATTACACCCTAATGAACATTTACTAGTGATTTCAAAGGTAAATATACATGTGGTCAAGTTTGTTGATGTTTGGTCATATCCCATTTGGATATCCCTACCTCTTGTGTTCTTTTGTATTAGTTAGCCCCAACATATCTGTGATAAAACCTCCAAAAGAGGTACACAGCATGTTTGTGAAAGAAACACTGGTAATGATTCTTCAGCACCAGAGAGTATCTGAGAGTTTTCTTATGTGATTTCAGAATGTCCTCATGTCAACGTAGAGGAGGTTGATGGTGGAGGCGCTTCCACTGTTCCCCAAATCCTAGAACCCCAAGAGTCAAACGGCTCCACCCTCACTGTACCTGTTACTGAACTGTCCACCCACAGGTCAGTCTTTCTGGACTGATGCCAAAAAGGATTCTTTTGAGCAACACTTTTGGTTCCCTAAAGTTATGGTTCTCAGTGCTGGTCCTGGTGAACCCCTGCCCTGTACAATTTAGTCTAATTTAGCTCATCAGCTGTTTAACAAACACATCCTTAGTTAGAGTGAATAATAAAGCAGGGTTGAGAACTACGACCTTGAAGAACCTTTCAGTGGATGTTTCTTTAAAGGAATACTTTGGCAAAAATTGCAAATTACACAGTTTTCCACTGACTTCATCCACCCTAGTCAATCAGCCAAGATATGTTTGGAGTCTACATTTTTCTTGTTCAGTTTAGCACTGGAGTTATGGGGCTAACATTGGTAATAAACACTAGAAGTGAAATCTTTTCTCTAAAACATCCCTCAGACTTCTCTCAACAGGATCAAGCCACATTCTGGTCTTCGTAAAGGTGGTGCAGACTTGTCGATGTAGTTTAGGACACAGTGTGACTTACTGTGAACTATAGATCACCAAATGGCAAAAAGCTGGGACTATCTCTCTCTACTGCCTTATATAAACTCTTTACTTAATACATTAAAATCGCCGTGATGTTTCGCGCTCCATGACCATCAGATGAAAGTCTGGTGAATGTGGTGGGAGGTCTGGAGGAAGACTCACCTCCACAGCTGTTTAACTACACCTCCTTGCCCACAGACAGACAGAAAAGACCAATACTAAATGCATATATATCACTGCGGTTGGAACAAAACATCATATCTCCAAAATGGTAACTTTACAGGAGAAGGAAAAAACATACTTTACTTTTAATGTAAGTCAATGGAACCAGACTTTTTTCCAAGTCATTCTGGGCTGTTTGTTTTGGTCCATTCATCATGAAATTTACACACAATATAAAGAGCAACAGGCATTTTCAAATTATGTCAAAAACTGGAAAACAAGAAAAATGGAGATGGGAGGTTTTACTCAGACTATATATATATATATATATATATATATATAGGTTATATATCGGTATATAGGTTGCAGGTTGAGAGAACTTTCATAATTATGTCATTATGGAAAAGAATTGGGTGACTATTGACTTCTAGTGTTTGCTGGCAATGTTAGCTGTGAAGCTCCAGTGCAAAACTAAAAAAGCAGAAATGTGGACAACAAACGTGTCTAGATTGATGGTCTGTATCTGTGGTAAGTAGATATTTTGTAAATTTGATTTTTATACCTTTTTCTTTAAAGAACCATTTCTGTATGATGTGAAGACCCTTTTCACATTTAAAGACCCCCAACATAATCTGTCTACACCATAAAAAGGTTTTTCTTAGAACTGTAGGTCTTGGACTAGACTGCAATCCCAAATATGTTTCACTATTAAAAATCTAATGTAGTCTTTAATCTTGATCTGACTGGCCCCAAAATCAAACAGTCGTCCTACACTCACCTCAGCAGGTTACATACAGAGCAAAGCTAATGGCTTCATTTAGACTGGCCCCAGCAGAAGTAACTGTACTGCTTATCATATTATTGGGTAGTGTTTGGGCTAGATGTGTTAAACCCAATGACATGTTTTTTTTTATTTTTTTGCCTTTGTTTCTGGTCTGCTTCAGCAAAGCTGTGGGCATAGAGTAAGTCTTTGTTCATTATAATGTAGAAAATGCTGAGATTTTGATTCCTCTGTAGTGCCTGTCCTGCTTTTTCTTGTAGCTTAAATGTTTTCCTATCTGCTGAACCAGGAAAATGTTGGACGACATGGACAGAGAGGATGAACTACACACGCCGGGCTTACTCACTGTTGATGAAGAGTAAGTGACCAGCCATACAAGCTACATATAAGCATGATGACCTTTAATAAGTATTACTGAAGTTATGACTGTGAAATTCCATGAATATTTTGGTGATAGATAGATAGATAGATAGATAGATAGATAGATAGATAGATAGAAAGACAGACAGACAGATATGGTGAATATAAAAATATAAATATAATGCCAAAGTGAAAATAAGTTAGTAAATTAACACGTCCTCTACAGAGAACGTACTTAAATGAGGCGTTTTCTATAAAGTGCACAATGTCTATTTATTTGCTGAGTTTAACATAATTGAAAAAATACAACTTATTCAATTCAGTAAAATTAAGAACATTTAAAAATTATTGAAAAAATTCAATAAAATATTCAATTCAGAAAATAAAGAGGAATTAAAATAGTATTAAAATGTGTTTTCTGTAGAGGGTGCATTAGCTTATTTTTGCTTAATAAATCAACAACATGTCATTTAAACATTACAGTTACGGCAAACAAAAAAACAAGAATTATGCAGATGCAATTATACATGCAAATATTTAAGAAAAGCTATAAAAAGTTTATAGAATTTATCAGATGCTTACAAGAAACTTATAGGCGTATGCAAAAGTTTGACCATCCCAGTCAAATAACATGTTTTGCTGATTTTTTTTAAGTGAAAAAAGTGAAAATGTCCTCTACAGGGAAAAACTCAGTAGGACATTTTCTGCAAATCTTATCGCATGATTTCTGTTTGCTTTAGACAAAGTGTGTTAACTTATTTTCGCTTAGAAAACCAGCAAAACAAGTCATTTGACCAAACAGCAAGTAGATATCTATATGCCTATATGGTTCCTGTTTTGCCTGTATGCCAGTGTGTGTACCCTACAACCAGAATAGAGAAACGCTGCTGTTTGCCATCACATGCTGCTGATACGCTGAGCTGTTGTGTTCTCTGTGGCAGAGAACGGCCTCTCTCTGCAGCCAGTCAGACCAGTGTTGTGGTGAATGAACGACTGCAGGAGCTGGTGAAGCTGTTTAAGGAACGAACAGAACGAACTAGAGAGAGACTGCTGGACCCAGATGAGTCTGATGAGGAAAGCCCCTCAGCATGTGAGTATCTATTGTGAGTGTGTGACCAGAGAACTTGTAGAGAGGAGAATTACCACTCTGCAATGTCTTCTAGGTTTCTCAAACACTAGAGGGCGCTCCCAAGCGAGTCCAAAATGAATAGGTTGTTATGGAGCATTTGAGCAAAATCATAGTTTATGAATGCTTAAACGTTTTTAGTGTAAAAGAATGCAACCATTTCCTGAACACAGCATAAAACTTTATTACACTGCTGTCATATTTTTATATTAATAGCTTTTACACTCGAGCTATAGGAGTTTAAAAAGGCACCTCATGTACGTTCATGACGTCTGTGAGCACGAACAGCCAATGAGCAGCTCCGCTCGCCAACCAATCAGCACACACTAGCAATAATGCCGGTGTTCTGCTGCCCAAGACCCGTTTGCTGTAGAAAAAAGGAAATATATAGGCAAGTTTTCTTTGTTTTTTTAGTGAAATTCATCCTTCTACTTTCTAAAATTAAAGAAAAGTTCTGTGTAAGTGATTAGAAACTATTTTAACTTTTTGTTTTTAGCCGTTGAGCTCCGTTTACTCCCATTCATTGAAGACCCCCTCGTTGGCGCCCTCTACTATTTAGCAGTCCTGTTTTTGATATAACGGGGGAAGTAGGAAGAGGCCAGCTTCCTCATAAACCGGCTCTGTGTATGCCATATAACATATATATCGCTATTGTCAGAAGAAAACCTTGTATCTCCAAAATCATAACTTTACAGGAGAAGGAAAAAACCTACTTTACTTTTAATGTAAGTCAATGGAACCAGAATTTTGGGTCATTTCTTTTAGTCCATTCATCATGAAATTTACGTACAATGTAAAGGGTAACAGGTATTTTCAAATTATGTCAAGAATGGAAAAACTTAAAAAGTGGAGATACAAGGTTTTCTTACGACAACAGTGATATTTATTATGATGTGGTCAATGTCAACATACACGTGTACTTCCATGAATGGAACGACTTTTTGGCCTTTTCTTCTGTTCCTGTAAGAGCTTGTGTGTATGAATGTTGTCCACAGTATTGCATAATTATATACTCAGTCGTGTGCAAAACTTTAGGCACCCATGGTCAAATGACATTCACCAATATCTGCCCAAGTTTTTCTTAAATCTGTTCTTGAGAAAGGTCCTAATGAAAAGTCCATGTCAGATTCATAACGTGTTCTTAAAGTGCAGAACTGTTCTCAGCTTTGTGTGTAGGTTCTGTTCTTACCTAAGAACAAATCCCAAGTAAGAAAACATTGGTAAAAATGTCAGAATCTTCGTGAAAACTCCATTTAAAAAAGAAATTTCTTCTTAAGAACTGCTGGAGAATGAGGCCCATGTTTTTGTTGATTTTCTAAGTGTAAATAAGTGAACATATAGGAACATAACATATGGCACATTTATATTTTTCATGTCACATTGAAGCAGACATGCTAACTTATTTTCATTTAAAATATTTATGTCATATTATATCATATATTATTTACAGCTACACTGCTTCAGTTAACACTGAATAAAATAAAAGAAATTATTAATATGACACAAAGTGGACATGAAGTGGTTTCAAACCTTTGAACGCTAGTGCATCTCATGGTGTGAATTGGACCATCATTAGACCTTTGATCTTGAATCTGTAGCACCTGCTAAAAAAGCTGATGCTCCGCCGCCGCCGCCTCCTCCTCCCGGCGAGGAAAAGAAGGCTCCAGCAGATGGTGAGAAAGCAGAAGAGGAAAGCTTCCTGGAGTTTATGGGCTACCAGGTCAAATTGCCCCAAATGCCTAAAATGCCCGACTGGCTGAGAGCAATAGTGGAGTATCGCTTCCCTTCCAGCATCGATCCTTACACTGGTGAGACACTGCACAGTGCTTTAATTGATTTTACTGTGTGTTAGATTTGATTTTTAGGATTTTATACTAATAATACTGTATGTGTACCATTTTCCCCAGTGGAGGAGGCTGTAAATCTTTCTATTTTGAGAATACAAATGTAGCCTAACCTGCATTTCGTTCGTTATTTTTTCCACGTTTGACATTTGTGTGATTTAATGTACCACAAACAGCATAATTTATTTCTACATGACTATTTTCCAGACACTCTTTATCCATTACAATAAAACAGGCTGTTTTTGTTACTGTGTCTTTAAGTCTGATATGCTTACATAATCTCTGTTCTGATTGGCTGCCCTGTACTGTGGCTTGTTCAGCAGTCTGGACTGAAACACTCCTTATAACTTCAGTGTGAATGAACGTAACTAAACTGCTGTAGACTGAATAGGCGGATATAAGAATATGTTGGTTTTTGTGGTGTCACAAAAAAAATAAATTCAAAAGGGGCAGTTTTTGAAGCTTTGTTGCCGTATATGGACTGTATGGACTGGGGAGTGAATGACACATTTTAATATAACTATGTTTACATATTACATCAAAGTCTTTTATTCCAGAAAAGTGGGGAAATCTTGGAAATTTTGAAAAATGGAGTTGATAAGTCATGCCGTGCCAAATATCCCCAGAACTTTCACATTTAGATAAACAATTGAATTTGTGCTACTTCATGTGGACATTTTATGTGACGCGACTGTAGCCTAAAAGTGCTACAATTAGTTGTTAATACCTCTTACTAATCTCACAGACCAACCCACTGTATAGAACTGTATTGCATTACACACCGATCAGGCATAACATTATGACCTTGTTTCTACGCTCATTGTCCATTTTATCAGCTCCACTTACTATATAGGTGCACTTTGTAGTTCTACAGTTGCAGACTGTAGTCCATCTGTTTCTCTGCATACTTTGTTAGCCCACTTTTACCCTGTTCTTCAGTGGTCAGGACCCCCATGGACCCTCACAGAGCAGGTTCTATTTGGGTGGTGGATCATTTTCAGCACTGCTGTAACACTGACGTGGTGGTGGTGTGTTGTGTGTGTTGTGCTGGTCTGAGTAGATCAGACACAGCAGTGCTGCTGGAGTTTTTAAACACTGTGTCCACTCACTGTCCACTCTATTAGACACTCCTACCTTGTCAGTCCACCTTGTAGATGTAAAGTCAGAGACGATAGCTCATCTGCTGCTGCACAGTTTGTGTTGGTCGTCCTCTAGACCTTCATCAGTGGTCACAGGACACTGCCCACAGGACGCTGTTGGCTGGATATTTTTGGTTGGTGGACTATTCTCAGTCCAGCAGTGACACTGAGCTGTTTAAAAATTCCAGTTTCACTGCTGTGTCTGATCCACTCGGACCAGTGCAACTCACACTAACACACCACCACTATAATAAATGGAGCTGATAAAATGGACAATGAGCGTAGAAACAAGGACATAATGTTATGCCTGATCGGTATGTTCTATTGTTTTTCATTTGGCGGTTGTGTTTTCTCTTGACAGATTTGATTTATGTCGTATGGCTGTTTTTGGTAACATGTGCGTGGAACTATAACGTGTGGCTGATCCCAGTGCGCTGGGCCTTCCCCTACCAAACACCAGAGAACATCCACCTGTGGCTGCTGGCCGACTACCTTTGTGACACCATCTACATCCTGGACATCATGGTGTTCCAGCCCAGACTGCAGTTTGTCAGAGGAGGAGATATTGTGGTGTGTAGACTCTGATATATGCAGAATGTGGCACAAACACGTGCACTTTTAACCCTTAAATGCACGGTTGTTTCCTCCAACCGTTTATACATGTGTCAACTGTTCATACTCATATTGATAGATCAAATCTGCAAACTACCATGACACTGTAAACTCTGTTGAAGCTGGATTAGTTTTACCTGGTGAGGTCATGTAATTTAAGTGACCACCAGCAAGTCCCATTATTTTAATCCAGTATGAATCAGCAGTGTGTGTAGTTTTACAGTCTACAGTAATAATTGTGGAGCGATTTTAATCCAGTATGAATCTGCAGTGTGTAGTTTTTACAGTCTGATGGTAATCATTGTTGAGTCATTGTAGTCCAGTATAGATCTGTTCTGTGTTTGTACAATTTTGCAATTTTATTATTGGTTAACAGTCCAAAACCAAACGTTTGAAGAATGCTAGGCAGGGGAGACCTAATTGAAAAATATATATGGGGGGAGGAGGGGGAGGTATGCATTTAAGGGTTAATTTAAGTTAGTTAAGTTAAATAAGTGAAGTTAATTGAGTTAGATTTACAGTATTATAACTATGACTCCTCACACACATATGCATACAGACACAGACACTGTACAGACATTACTGTACAGTATACACAACTCCATGACAGCAGTAAGTCTTGTGTGTTGTACAGATGTGTCTGGTTTTGTATGTTTTTCAGTGTGACAAAAAGGACATGAGAGAAAATTACATGCAGACAGAGCGATTTAAGGTGAGCACCAAATTAACATCCATCCACAGAGGTACACTGTTGACAGAAAAGCAGTAGACTGTACATGTTTCATGATTGTTTCAGTTAAAGCATGTTTATTTGTTTGTTTGTTGATTTTTGTCTTATGTTTCAGATGGATATGATCAGTTTGTTCCCCCTTGAGATCCTGTACTATTTCACTGGAGTTAAATCTGTTTTACGCTTCCCTCGCATTCTTAAGGTAAAACCACCTTTCAAACATGTAACAGTGCATCTCGATATGTATTTTATCATTATTGTGATATTGTGATATCTGTATTGTGATATGCAGTCACACACCTAAATCTACTGTTTTTGTTCACATTATTAGGTTAGCAATAATTCTGCTCTCTCCTTCTCTCAGTACCAGGCATTCTTTGAATTCAATGATCGCCTAGAGGCTGTGATGAAAAAGGCCTACATTTACAGGTGAGCTTACATTACACAGCAGCCACTGTATTTATAAATCTTAATTCCGGCATGCGTGATTTTTTCTCTAATACTTAATTTAGCGTCTTCTTGTCTTAATGACAGTTCCAGTCCTGTCAGGTAAGGATTACACCAGTCACGTGAGATTCTGTCCATTTTAGCCCACTTTTCCACTAACTTTGTGTCAGAGCAAAACACAAAATTGACACTCCTACATTCCAGGATGACGCCTGTAGGGTGTCTGTATGTGAGTAATTCAACAGGAATCCCAATTCTTAAATTGGAACAGCAGGTAAAATACTGAAATAGCAACACAAGCTCTGGCAGAAATGTGCACCTAGTTTGAGAAAGAGTGGACTAAATTGGACAGGAACTAAAACTCAGGAGACTGAGGTAATCCTTATCTGACAGGATTGACACTAGAGGTCTATACGGGCTTGATTATTAATGCCTGCACTTGACCACATATCACATCCGCCTGCACCTGTGTCGTTCTTACTCCACAGCTGCCTGTTTCAACCACACGTATTGCCCACCCCTGCTCGCTTACTTTGGGTTATGGTCCTTTATGGTCCTCCTGCCCACATTTAGCCTTTTTCAGCCCTGTTCCTCTGGCGTAGATCAGCCTATTCAAGCCCCAGAGACATGACAGAACAGCCTCAAAATGAACCCCATCTGCAAAGGATTTCTAAGATCACGTGGGACCCAAGGGTGAACCTCCGAGGTTTCCTCAAACCTCTAACTGACACTGTTATTAAGGCAACTGGCACAGCTAACTAAGAGTTGGTGCTATCATCAGGAAGTCATGAATTCAATCCCTGGTGATGTCACAGCCATTCGTGGCCGGGAGTCCAAGTGAGCATAACTTTCCCCTCTCACTGGGTGAGAACGATGGTCATCCCTCTCCCCCATCATGTCGGTTAGCTGATGTAACAGAATTAGGAATTAGTGTTCTCCTCCAAGCGTGTTGAGGTCCAGTGATGTTGCGTTAGCAGCAGTTGGAAAAGATGGTGGTGCTTTTAGGGTCTCAGAGGAAGCTTGTGCGACCTTCACCCTCCTAGCTTGGTGCATCATGTGATGAGGAGACCTAGTTAATGAGTGAAATTGGCAGTGACTAAATTGGAAAAAAGAAAAAAATGATACATCAACTGATTTTGGTCTGCTGAGCTTATCTTCAGTGCTTTCCTCTGCTCTTCAGAGTCTGACCCTCGTTTCCTTTTCTCCTCTCGTTTCCTCTCTTTCTCTTAGAGTGATCCGCACGTCTGCATACTTGCTCTACTCATTGCACTGTAACGCCTGTCTGTTTTACTGGGGCTCTGATTATGAAGGCTTGGGCTCCACCAAGTGGGTTTATGATGGCAGAGGCAACAGGTAATTTACCTTAAACTTTCAGTCCATCAGTTAATATTAAACTAGCATCTTTTTTGGTGCTGTCGCTGTTGATTATTAGTAGTAAACTAATTAGTAGTAAATCTATTTTGATTTGAATTTTAAATTAAGTTATTAGAATAAAAAATGCAATGCTATGACGGTGCATCCATCAGGAGCAGTATGAAAATATGCATATTGAATATGCATTTTTCCATGCAAATTGCCAGATATAGAAGATTTTAAAGGGCATATATCATACAAACTACTAGGGAAGCTAAGCTACAAAAATAGCCCTTTTTTGTGATGTCATGAAAAATGAATATATTTACAGATATCCACCTATTCAGCTTACAGCCGAAGTTATAAGAAGCATTTCTCCAGGCAGGACTGACTTTTTTGAATGAGGCATGTGACAGGGCAGCCATTCAGAAAACAGTTCATATATCAGTCTTAAAGACACAGTAGCAAAAACAGCCTGTTTAATTCTAAGGGATAAAGACAGGTTGGAAAATGGTCATGTAACCATGAATTAAAAGGTTTTTGGTACTTAAAACTACTACACAAACATTGTAGGTGGACAGAGGGGGAAAAAGGATAGGACACTTTTAACAATAACGATTGTGACTCTTGTGTTTTTAGTGAAAGTAAGTCAAAGCTAATTCTAATACCAAACATTACATGTTGTCTTTATACAGTTATATCCGCTGCTATTACTTTGCTGTAAAAACTCTAATCACCATCGGAGGCCTGCCGGATCCCACCACCGTGTTTGAAATCGTCTTTCAGCTGGTCAATTACTTCGTGGGAGTATTTGCTTTCTCCATCATGATTGGTCAGGTGGGTGGGGAAACGGAAATGCAAGACTATAAACTGAGATGTTGTTTTTCATTTTTAGTTTTATTTTAAAAACATCTCAAAGTACCATTCAATAATGTTAGTGTTTGTATGTGTGTCTATTTGTGACAAGTTGGGACAGGAGCATGTTTACCACTGTGATACATCACCTTTCCTTTTAACAACACTTAACACTTAACACCAATTGATTGAGTATTGAATGGAGAATTTTTTGCCATTCTTCTGTTACACAAGTCTTTAGCTGTGCGACTGTACAGCTGTTGTCATGTTTTGAGCTCAAACAGACAGGTTTTCAGTGGGAGTCAGTTCTGGGCTGCAGGCAGGCCAGTCTATGCTACAATATCATGGCTGTGTAATCAGAGAAAAGGTGGCATATGTTGTTTCAAAATGTGTTCAGTGTTAAAGGTGCTTTGACAGATGTGCAGGTTACCCACTAATACTCCCCCATACTATGATAGACCCTGGATTTTTTAACTTTACACTGGTAACAATCTGGATGGTCCTTTTCTTCTTTGCCCTGATGAACATGACGTCCATTATTTCCATTTACAGTCTGAAAGTTTGACCCGTCAGACCACAATACACATTTCTGTTGTGCATCAATCCATTTCAGATGAGCTCGAGCCCAGAGAAGTCGGCGGAGTTTCTGGACATTGCTGACATATGACTTTCTCTGTTCTTGTGTCTTAACTTGCATTTGTGGATGCAGTGACAACACTTTGTCAGAGTATTCCCAAGCCCCATGTGGTGATATCCATCACAGAAGCATGCTGTTTTTTTTTATGCAATGCCATGTAAAGGGTCAAATGTCACAGGTATTCAGCTGTGATTTTCCGCCTTGCCCTTTACATACAGCGATTTCTCTGGGTTCCCTGAATGTTTTTGATGATATTGAACATTGTTTTTAAACTTTTGGATTTTTTGCTGATGCATTTTTGGCAAAAGGGGTGAGCCTCTGCCTTTCTTGCTCATAAAGGCCTTTCCTGGATGCTTCTTCTATTTCCACGCATGATTGCGTCAGCTGTTTAAGATGTTTTTTAAGCATTTCATAATGTTCCTAGTCCTAGTCATAACTGCCCCTGTCCCAACTATTTTAGAATGAACACGTAATTACAAAAAAACATTAAAGTTGATAATACCGCTTTCTGTTTTTATTTGCATTTTACTTTATTATTTTTGAATTGGGTTTGTATGTGCAGATGAGAGATGTTGTCGGAGCAGCCACTGCAGGTCAGGCATACTACAGAGCATGTGTGGACAGCACAGTAAACTACATGACCTCTTACCGCATCCCCCACGAGGTTCAGAAACGGGTCAAGACCTGGTACGACTACACCTGGCAGTCCCAGGGCATGCTGGGTAAGAATAAGCGGATCAGCTTTCTTCATATCAAACAATCCTGTACAACTGACAATAAAAGTAGCACTTAAACACATTAAAACACTTTTGTAAACGTTGACTTGCTGCTCACTTATGTTTCATCTGTGTTACTGAAGAAAAAAAGAGCGTAGTTCAACTAGGGGACCACAAAAATAGCCAGAAAGTGCATTTCATATATACAGTACAGGTTTGCACAGCTTCGAAATGTTTACATATATTTATATTTATGTATATTATAAAAATCTGGGAATTTTTGAGTGGGAATTTTTGCCCATTCATCCAGAAGAGCATTTGTGAGGTCAGACACTGATGTTGGACGAGAGGACCTGGCTTGCAATCTCCGTTCTAGTTCATCCCAAAGGTGTTTGATGGGGTTGAGGTCAGGGCTCTGTGAGGGCCAGTCAAGCTCTTCCACACCAAACTCACCCAGTCAGGCCTTTATGGAGCTGCTTTGTGCACTGGGGCTCAGTCATGCTGGAACAGAAAAGGTTCTTCCCTAAACTGTTCCCACAAAGTTGGAAGAGTACAATTGTCCAAAATGTCTTGGTGCTGAAGCATTAAGATTTCCCTCCACTGGAACTAAGGGGCTGAGTCCAACCCCTGAAAAACGTTCTCCTGGCATTCGTCAAACCCAGACTCATCCATCAAACATCAAGATAAAAAAAACATGATTTATCACTCCACAGAATGCGGTGCCACTGCTCCAGAGTCCAGTGGCCCCGTGACTTGTGGTGAAGGTGGCATCCTATGACAGTGCCATGTTTAAAGTCACTGAGCTCATCAGTCTGACCCTCTACTGCCAGTGTTTGTCTATCGAGACTGCATGTCTATGTGCTTAATTTTATCCACCTAGCGATAGGTGTGGCTGAAAAACCTGTACTCAGTAATGAGGAGATGTGTGCCAATACTTTTGTCTGTATAGTGTATGCATATATAATATAAATGTAGTTGATGAGCCAAGACATACAGTTTGTTCATATGTTTATAAATGATTAATTTGTATATATTGAGAATTAATCTTCCATTGTTTGTTAACTAAATTAGCATCGTAGCTCCAGAACAAAGTAAATTTCATACACCAAACATGTCTTGACTGATTCACCACATGATAAAAATGCATCATGACAAGTTAAAATGATTGTGTTATTAATTAATTAGATTTTTCACTAAACTGTTGCTTTAAATGTGGATAATTAATAACATAGTAAAATGTTCACTTTCTGTCTCTTTCTCTCTGTTTAGATGAGCGCGATTTGCTCGTACAGCTTCCTGATAAGATGCGTCTGGACATTGCAGTGGATGTGAACTATTCCATCGTCAGCAAAGTGGCCCTCTTTCAAGTGAGTTACAGTTAAGGGTATAGACTTTTAGACTTTACACATCTCTTTCATAGACACACATGAGAAAGTATATGACTTAAAGGGGCCATATCCTACATTTTTACATTTTTCTTCTATTTTCCCCCCATTTGAGTGACTTAATATACCAAAACAGTCGTAATCTTTTTATACATGATCATTTTCCATCCTCTCATTATCTCTTAGAAATAAACAGACTGTTTTCTTACTGTGTCTTCAAGACTGATATATGTAAATGACCCCTGTTCTGATTGGCTGCCCAGTTTTGTGCCTTACTAAAAGAAACAGTCCAGTCCACTCCCTATAGCATAGATGTGAATGGAACTAAACTTCTGTAGGCTGAATAGGTGGATATATGTAAAGGAGTTGGGTGTGACAACCTGTGCAAATTCACAGGTTTCAAATAATGAGTAGGTCAGCAGAAAGCTGTAAATAAAAATGAATAAATAGATATATACAGAATGAGGAACGGAGCTGTAGATTAATCTAAAATGACTGAGAAAGCTGTGAAACATCAAGTTATAATCAAATTAATATCCTCAATCCCTCATAGTGGAGATCAAATCTCAAGGCAGATAACTTGACAAAAATATAACATGTAAATATATAATTACAGTGTATTATATATCATTTTTTCACTTCTTTTTCACAGAGTTCTTGAAATATTAAATAAAACTAGTCTAAATATCTTTTGGTGAATAGTTTATTTAAATCCACATCCACAAGTATTTAAAATAACAAAACATTACTAACATGGTTAGTGATTCCAAACATATAGAACAAAGTATATAGTGCACTTATGCAGTGTGCACACAAAAAAACGGTGTTGTCCTCTCGTCATGTGCTTCTTGTTTTCATTTTCAGGGCTGTGACAGACAGATGATATTTGACATGTTGAACAGGTTGAAGTCGGTGGTCTATCTGCCAGGAGACTATGTGTGTAAGAAGGTGAGTACCTCTGTAACTCTGATCACAGCTCTCACTTACCCTGTCCTGCACAGCATCAAGAAACCTTCTACTGAAACTAAGAGGGGAATTCCACAAATTTTTCAAAATTTCTGTTGAATTAAACAAAAAAATTAAACAAAGTCATTTAGAGAAACCTCAGAATTATTACAGAATTGTTCACAGTGGTGGGAACCAGACGTCTGAAGAGTTTAATACAAGCTCCCTCATTGGAAGTTATTCAAAAATTGGTTATGAATACGCTGCCTGATGCCTGACATACTGTATTGTTTTACAGTAGTTTTGCCAAGGTTTTGACATAAAACATATTTTTTCAAGTGCATTTATGACGTAAAGGAGCATACAGGGTGTTGTGAGGCCAAAAAGTCCCCAAAGAAAACTTATTTTTCCACTATTTTACCATCAACATTACACATAATACTCATAAGACGTGTAGGTTCACTGGTGGTTTTGGATAGTAAATAAAATGGCTATATTTGTGTTGTAGATATGGTGACTCCTGGTTCCTATCACCATCACTGAAAAAAAATCTGAGTCTCTACAATCAACCATTTCACACCAAACCACTCTGAATGACTGTTAACATCTCAAACACTGAATTATGTCAGAAATGCAGTTCTTTCAACACTTTTCAACTATTACAGAATATAAAATGGGTAAAATGTTACAAGAAAGTAAACTACCACTAGATATACGTGTGTGTGTGTGTCTGCTGGACAGTTCTGCTAAGGCCATAATGGAAGGGACAGTGGCAGTTTAATAGCAGGCAACGCAGCAAACCTGGAATTAGAGCAGCACAAAAAGATGTTTCTTTACAAAGCACGATTTCACATTAAGCCACTCTAAACCACTCTGTGGACAACAGTGGAATTATGAAGATGTTTTTGAAAAAAATATGGTACACAAATGTAATAGTCTATCAGTCAAGACATGTCTGTAGTTAGCATCTTGAGGCTAATTTAGCTAACAAGTACTGGAGTGAAGGTATATAGCAACTAGTCTTGCATCATGCAAACCGCATGCCTAAATCATCACATACCTGCCCCAAACTTAACCTCAAATAGACTTGATTATGTGGTTTCTAACACACTATTATCTGTATAAATGGACATAGCATAGCTAAAACAGTAGCAGCCTGAATTTGCTCTGTATTTTTGTCCATGTTTATAGATTATGACGGCGTTTTTTGGGCTACTGTTAATAAAAATAAAAATAGACTTCGAGAATAAAGTCATAATATTTCAAGAAAAAAGTCATACGGTATGATATTACGAGAATTAAGTCATAATATTTCGAGAAAAAAAGTCTTAATATTTTGAGAAAAAAATTGTAGAATTACGACATTAAAGTGACATTAATACCAGGAAAGATCGCAGTATTGTGGCCAAAGGCTTTGCAAAGCGGAGGCAGCACCTCCTCGTGTTAAATGAGGGGCGTTGAGTTGGTGGAGTTGTACTTTCATATCGATTCACCCATAAAGAAACACTCAGTCTCCCTGTCTCTCCTGCTCATCAGCACCAGCCTGTTATTAGGATAAGAAACAGCTGAAACGGCTGAGCAGGAAACTGTGTTTATCTAGAATAAAGAGCCAGACGGACTCGGAGGAAACTGTCTGTCTGTGTTGTTGAAGGAGAATCGCAGGCAGGGTCGTCTACATGGCTATCGGGGGCTACATCTCCCCCCATTCAAAGAGGGAATAAAGTTTCACAGACAGTGAGAATGATGATCAAAATGATCCACAGAGAGACAGGAGTGAGTGGAGCTCCGGCGCCAGTACAGCAACCGAGACCTCAGCGCGTTATGGCAGCCCCCCCTATAGTTAGCCCCCCTACAGTTAGCCCACTTTATCCTCCAAATATTACGACTTTATTCTCGAAATATTACGACTTTATTCTCAAAGTTTATTATTTTTATTTTTAATAACAGTGGCCCTAAAACATCATCGTAATGGATAGCAGTGTGTCATACAGTGTCAGAAACCACATAAGCGAGTCTGTTAGACGTTACTCAACACAGTTTGATGCAAGTGTGTGATAATTTAGGCCTGCAGTTTGCACAATGCTAATCGTTGGGCTATACACCTCCATTACTTTTTAACACTAACCTCGTAGCTCCAGTGCAAAACTAAGGAAGCAAACTTCAGACACCAAACATGTCATGACTGACTGACTGTCCATTTTTGATAAATGGTATAAGTTTGATTTTCCAACTATTGCTTTAAGGTCACATCAGACATCAAGCAGGACTGTAAAAAGCCTTTTATCCTTCAGCCTTTCATGTCAGTCATGACTCTCCTGTCTCTCTCCTGCAGGGTGAGATTGGCCGGGAGATGTACATCATTAAAGCTGGAGAGGTGCAGGTGGTGGGAGGCCCAGACGGGAACACTGTGTTTGTGACTCTGAGAGGGGGCTCTGTGTTTGGGGAAATCAGGTGAGTGTTCTTGGATGTTGTGAGTTAGTTTGGCCCGTGCGTGCTAACAGGACCTCGACTGAATATCTGAATAAGTGCTGGGATGAGATCAGAGTGATGTGGCGTGTTGATGACGAGTCTGCGGGTGTGAGTCATTATTGTGGATAACATAGTATAATGCAGTAATCCAGTTTGACTGCTATGTGAATAGTTTGACATCAATTCAGATTTATATAGTTTCTCCCTTTCATTGTAGTTGATCAGTCAGAACATGTTTGGTATCTGTTTTAGTTTTGCACTGGAACTACGAGGCTAAAGTAGCTAGTAATGACAGTAATGAGAGCTTATACCCCACCAATTAGCGTCGTGTAAACTGCAGACAAAATTCAAGCTCAAGATGGCTACTAATTCAGTTTTTTTAGCTATGCAATATAGTTTTGTTACACACACCGATCAGGTATAACATTATGACCACCTCCTTGTTTCTATGCTCATTGTCCATTTTATCAGCTCCACTTACTATATAGGTGCACTTTGTAGTTCTACAGTTACAGACTGTAGTCCATCTGTTTCTCTGCATACTTTGTTAGCCCCCTTTTACCCTGTTCTTCAGTGGTCAGGACCCCCATGGACCCTCACAGAGCAGGCACTATTTGGGTGGTGGATCATTCTCAGCACTGCAGTAACACTGATGTGGTGGTGGTGTGTTAGTGTGTGTTGTGCTGGTCTGAGTGGATCAGACACAGCAGTGCTGCTGGAGTTTTTGAACACTGTGTCCACTCACTTGTTGTTTTGTTGTTAGGAGGATTTTTAATTATTTTAAATATACTGGCAGATTATGGGCTCGGGGGTCTTTATTTTGTTTATTTAGTCATCAAATATTCAAGGGCTGTTTGTTTATAAAATGTTTGTATCTGTAATTATTAGTCTTCACCGTGATGATTAGACAGTTTGTCAATTTAAGATTAACAGTTATGTATAAAGAGAAACAACATAAATGACCAGAAATGACAGAAGCAGCCAGCACGATGTGCGTTTACGCAGATGTAAATAGGATATCGGTGCAATACCTGTTGTCTAAAAAGCATAACCGCTATATACACAGTGAAGTTTCGTTCATTTTTATAGCTCACAGTAAGTCACACTGTGCACCAAACCACATCAACAAGTCTATGCGACCTTAATGAAACCATGAGGTTTAAAAGATGTTTTGGGGATGTATTTGGGTGACTATTGACTTCTGGTGTTTGTTAGCAACATTAGTAGCTCCAGCGCTAAGCTAAAGAAGCAATATTTGGACAATTATTAGCAAACATCGGCTGATCGTCTAAGCGGGAAATTGTGTAAATTTGATTTTTTGCTGAACCTTTTTTTTAAAAGCCTTCACTTGATCAAAAGCTGTCTTTGAATTTCTAAACACGTTCTGTGTTTTTTTTTTTGTCAGCTTGCTGGCAGGTGGTGGCGGGAACAGGCGTACGGCTAATGTCAGGGCACACGGTTTCGCCAACCTCTTCATCCTGGATAAGAAGGACCTGGCGGAGATCCTGGTGCACTATCCTGAGTCGGAGAAACTACTGCGGAAGAAGGCCAAGTGAGGGAGGGGCTCAGACTGCAAAGAGCCCCAGCAGACGTTACACATACTGACATCATATAACAGCATGTTTCATGTTCATATCAGTGCTTTCTGTCACACTCACAGATCCCCTTGTTGTAGTGATTAGAAACAGCGTACTAGGTCAAGGACTTTCCACCCCCCACTCCCCCAAACTCAGTTAGCATGAGATTGTGTTAGCATTAGCCTAGAACTAACTGAGATAAAGGCAGTGAAACGAGAGAGTCTCATGACTCCTGTTTTCTGCTCACCCGTGGATCCAATTCTTCATCAGGGTCAATGCGTGTGTGTTTGACTCACTCATGTGCCTGCCTGTCTATGAGCGTGTATAATTATCTTAACTCTTAGAACCTTCTTGTGTCCTCATTTTACATTTCACTCATTTCGCAGCCATTAGCTGATTATGTCAGTTCAGTTTAATGCTTTAACACGCAACTCATCATCCTATCAAGACTAAATCAGCTGATTTAATACAGAACCACAGCACTGTGAGCCATCCTGGCCTGATGTTGGTCACCCATCTGGTTAACTGTAAGCATGTGTCAGCTGTTTGTGTGTTTGTTATTCTCAGGAAGATGTTGACAAAGGATAAGAAGCCTGCAGAGGAGAAGACTGCAGCTAAAGATACCGGTGAGGTCATCCCGCCACGCCCAGAGACACCCAAACTCTTTAAGGCCGCCCTGAAGGTGGGCAAAGGAGAAACGTTCGCCAAGCTGAAGGAAACCTACAAAAGCACCGGAGCCACACTAGAGGTGAGTACATTACTCTTCATATTTTTATACCACAAATGTTAAATCTCTCGCCACCGCAGACTTTTAGGCTACGTTCACATTACTAGGTTGAAGTGGCACAAATCCGATTTTTTTCAGATCTGATGTTTTCAGGGCTGTGTGGACACGCAAATCTGATCTTTTCAAATCCAACCTGAGCCATTTTCATATGTGGTCCTAGATCGATACGTATCCAATTCATGGCCATGCGATCTTAATGTGACACTCAGATTGGAATTCATGCGCTTTTTTTTCACTGCGCTTCGCCCATCATTCAGTGCCACCATGGCAGCAGCGCCAAACAGAAGTTAAAGCCTGTAAACAGTGGAAAAGCAACACATTTTACCTTTTTCGCCTTTGTCTCGCTCTAATATTGAAGCTGAGAGCTGATCAGAGTCAATTATCTTCTCAGCGAAGCTCGTTCTGCTCGTTAGTTTTTGCTGATGATGCACGTGATTAATTCAGGTGACGTTACTCAGTAGGATGTGTGCATGCAGGTCATTTCCGGACGCTGGTTCGTTCACATTAACGACATTTGAATCATTTACCTAAACGAGTGTGAACCATCGTGTCAGAGAGATCAGATTTGAGCAAAAAATCTGATTTAAGCAATGAGGCTTGTACTGTGAACGTAGCCTTAATATATGGACAGATGCAGTAAAGGCCAAAAGAATGGAAATAGCAGTGATTTTTTTTTTCAGAAATGTTACAATAACCAACAACCAACACAATACATGTTTATTGATATAATGTATAATCAAAGAAGTGTGATCAAAATATTGCACACATTTAGTTTTTTACTTAATAATTGTAAACGTATTTAAGCAAGGTTAATATATATACATTTTGTTTCCAGCACCTAATGTTTATAAGCAATTCAGCTGAAAATGCCAGAAGAACATACCCCATAGGTGGTATCATCTGGATTATTTGTAACAGACTGAAGGGCTAAAAAGTTTGGTAAAATAGTGCAAAACACAGTTAAAGGGGAATTCCACCCATTTTTCAAATTTTGTGCATAATTCAATCATTAAGATGTAAACCTAATCACAACAAATAATTATATGCCAAGTGTTCAGTTTTAGAAAAACTTACTGAGTCAGAATTGTCGACAGTGGTGGTGATAGGAACCAGATGTCTGAAAAGTTTAACGCGTCTTAAAGCAACATCACAGAAGGTGATAACATTCAACAATTATGAATACGACGCCTGACTGCTGAAACATTTTATGAAAGTTTTAAAATAAAGTTTTGGCCTAAGACATGTTTTTCAAATCCATTCATAGTGGAAAAATACACACAGAGCATTTTAAAGCAAAATAGTCCCCAAAGAAAAATAATTTCAGATTTACCACTATTTTACCATCATCAACATTCCATATAAAAGCTCAGAAAACACATGTAGTTTCACTGACGGTTTTGGGTGGTAAATAAAATGGCTTTATATTTGTTGCAGACATCCTGACCCCTGGTTCCTATCACCACCACTGTAAAGACAATATGACTCAGTAAGTTTCTCTGCAATGAAGCATCCCACTTCACAACACTCAGAATGAGTTAGTTTAGATAGATAGATAGATAGATAGATAGATAGATAGATAGATAGATAGATGTGTGCAGTATGAAAATAAGTAAGCAAAATGGCATCAATATTATACAAGTGACTGAATGCAATGGTTCATATCACGTCCAGTGAATGAACCGAGTGACTGTACACTGTAAACAATAACATATGTTAATAGTTGTGCAATATGCCAGGGTGTATAAACAAGTGGCAGTGCAACATGCAGTAAACAAAGTGGTGGTGCAATATGCGATATGTATGGATGTATAAACAAAGTGGCAGTTTCTTTTTTAGATATTAATTAAAAGATGGTTTAAAAAGATGCAGCTTTATAATATCACATTATCTGTTTTTAAAGCTTGTTTAAATCTCTCCACTTGTAATCATTTAAGACAAACAGGAAGTTTATTCCACGGAACTACAGCCATATTGTATTTTATTTTAACAAGTTGAACTACTAATTCTAAAAGGAATTAAATTAATTGCACTACGTCTGTCTGTCCAATTGTGTCCTCAGGCTGTGCACACAGTTGTGTAACTAGTTGTGTAATTTAAATTTGTGTAGTTTCTGCCCTGTTGTGCTGTTTTAGTAGTACAGACTGTTCATCATAACCTTCATCTCTGTCTCTGACTGTGTTCCTTTCTCAGCCCTCTGCCAGCACCTCCACTGGTGCCCCCGTCCCCCCTCCCTCCCCCGTGCACCGCCGCTCACCTGTCCCACGGCTGGTCCCGCAGGACGACGACGACATGGTGTCAGAAACCACAGACAGCACCATGGTCATCCGCATGACCCCCCGGCAGCACGGAGAGGAGGTTCTGTCGGTGGAAGTGGGTCCTGGGGAGGAGGAGGGCGACGGTCAGCGTCAGACAGAGGGAGAGAAGAAAGATGAATAGAAGCAGCGAAAGAGAACGTAAACATTAACTGGCCAATGAACGGGCAGTTTGAATCTTGACACAGTGAGATCACACTCTCTCAAAAATAAAGGTGCCGAGAAGGGTTCCTTGGAGTCATGCCATAGAAGAACCACGTTTGGTTCCCTAAAGAATATTTCAATGGATGGTTCCTTAAAGAACCGCTTTAGTTACCTAACAAACTCTCCCATAGACGGTTTCTTGAAAGAAGCATTCTTGGCTCCCTGAAGAACCTTTCAATAGACAGTTCTTTAGATAAACATTTTTGTTTCCTTGAAGAACCTTTCAGTGGATGGTTCTTAATAACCATTTTTGGTTACCTAGAGAACCACTCAGTGAATAGATCTTTAAAGAATCGTTTTTGTCAATGTTTTGGTCATTAAATAATCATTTTTTGTTTCCTATAGAACCATTTAATGAATAGCTCTTTAAGAATCATTGGTGATTCCTTAAAGAACCTTGCAGTTATTGGCTCTTTAAACAACCATTTTTGGTTTCTTAAAGAACCTTTAGATCAATGGTTCTTTAAAGAACCATTTCTAATTTCTTAGAGTCTTTAAATAGATGGTTCTTAAATAATCATTCTTGATTCCCTAAAGAACCTTTCAAAGGTGGTTCTTTAAATTTTCATTTTTTGTTTCCTAAAGAACCATTAAGTGAATAGTTCTTTGGATAATCATTGTTGATTCCTTAAAGAACCTTGCAATTATTGGTTCTTTAAACAACTATGTTTGGTTCCTTAAAGGACCTTTAGATGGAAGGTTCTTTAAAGAACTTTTTCTGCCTTATTAAAGAGTCTTTAAATGGACGGTTCTTTAAATATCCATTTTTGATCCCTAAAGAACCATTCACTGAAAAGTTCTTTAAACATTGTTGATTCCTTAAAGAACCTTGCAGTTATTGTTTTTTAAGCAACCCTTTTTGTTTCCTTAAAGAACCTTTAGATGGTTGGTTCTTTACAGAACTATTTCTAAATGGATGGTTCTTTAAATAACCATTTTTGACTCAAAGAACCTTCAATGGATGGTTCTTTAAAGAACCCTTTTTAGTAAATGGGATACGTGAATCTGAAGAACCTTTTCAAAGTTTAAAGAACTTCCACATAATGTAAAGGTTCTATACCAATTAAAATATAGATGGCTTTACCTAGAATCAACATCCCAGAGAACCCTTTAGGCACCTTTATTTTCAGGAGTGTGTCTGTATGTGTGAGGTCACAGCTGTGGTTCTGAGGTTTATCTCAGTGGTTAATGGGTGTGAAACATGAGGCTGAGACTGAAAAACACAGTCAAACACAGTTATTTTCATCCTAATCTATGGGCCGTTTGTCCAGGGGGTGCATTATGTGCTATAATCAATTAACTGACCATACAAAGTGACTAGTGGTGCTTTTTCCCTATAGAGCCATAGCTGGCCTGTAACAGGTGAGTAAAAGTAGAGGCATGTTATAGAAACCAGGAGCTGATGTGTTGTGAAATCTGCTCTCTGCTGAAAGTTGATTTCACAGCATGAGCTGCTCTAATTCCAGGTTTGCTGCGTTGCCTGCTTTTAAACTGCCACTGTCCCTTCCATTATGGCCTTAGCAGAACTGTCCAGCAGACACACACACATGTATATCTAGAGGTAGTTTACTTTCTTGTAACATTTTACCCATTTTATATTCTGTAATAGTTATAGAAAAGCGGTACAATTTCTGACACGTTTAAGGGGAATTCCACTGATTTTAAAAAAATTTCTGCATAATTCAGTGTTTGAGATGTCAACAGTCATTCACAGTGGTTTGGTGTGAAATGTTTCATTGTAGAGAAACGTACAGACTCTTTTTCTTTACAGTGGTGGTGACGGGAACCAGGGGTCACCATGACTACAACACATATATAGCCGTTTTATTTACTATCCAAAACCACCAGTGAACCTACACGAGTCCTCTGAGGTTTTATATGTAGCATTGGTGAGTTTAAAACAGTGGTAAATCTAAAAAGATACGTTTTGTTTCCTGCTTTATCTCTAATGCCAACATTTGATCTCAAAACCGTCATAAAACATTTCATGTAATAATTTTCTATGAGGCATTAACAATTCAGACATCCGGTTCCTATCACCACCACTGTGAACAATTCTGACATTTAACATCAAACCACTTTGAATGACTTTATTTACGTCTTATCAGTTTAATTATGCAGATATTTTGATAAATTTGTGGTATTCCCCTTTAAGAAAAACCTGAAAAAAAATAGTCGACTTTCCTGCAATGTGCCATTTCCAGGAATGGCATAATTGTACTTTCTTTGATTCTGTATAAAGATTTCTTTGTAAGAACCTTTAGAATAGCAGGAATGTAAGAATGCTGAGTGCAGAATGATGTCTGCAGAGTGTAATTCATATTTTTTAAAAGCTAGTCACATTTTCTGCCATATGCCGATTCTAGAAACAGCATCAATGTACTTTGATTTGCTAGAAAGCTTATTTGTAAGTGTGAGAAGCATAAGACTTCCAGGAATACTGTATTCAATGTGAGAACAGTTTGGCTATGTTTGGTTTATATGTGTCTAGTACATATAATATAACCTGTCTTCATATCCCTGCAGCTCAGTGTATTGATCAGTGTGATCTGTCCTCGTGTTCCCCTGCAGACTAGCACGTACAGATCATTGGAAATGACTTTCCACTGTTTTCAGGTCAGCATGTACTGGACCCCTGCTGGTAAAATGGTACACAGAGACACAGAGATGGACGGTGAAATGATTAGCAATGTTCTTTCCTTCGTGGGTTCTCGGCATCTAGCTGGGCTTTCAGTGATAATAGGGCGTTTAAGGGCCCGTAAAATCGTAAAATCTCCGATGCTGATTTAACTCTGAGTGCAAATAGGCTGTTACAGTGTTCATATGAGTACAGCAGGACTTAAAGGGAAATGCCACAGATTTTTCAGATTTCTGCATAATTAAATGGGTGAAATGTAAACACAGTCATTCAGAGTGGTTTGATGTGCAACAGTTAACTGTAGAGAAACTTGCAGACTCAGATTTCCTTACAGTGGTGGTGATAGGAACCAGGGGTCACAATGTCTGCAACACAATATAGCCATTTTATTTACTATCCAAAACCACCAGTGAACATACATGTGTCTTCGGAGTTTTATATGGAATATTGATGATGGTAAAATAGTGGTAAATCTGTAAAATGTAGCTTTCTTTAAGGTTTAGTTTGCTTTACAGCGCCCAGTATGTACCTCTCCACCATGAATAGATTAAAAAACATGTAAGGGCACCAAAAGAACAATATTGTAAAACGATGTCTCTAGCATCAAAAAAACGTATTCATAACCAATTTAATGTAGTAACTTTCTTTGAGGGAGCTTTTAGAGGTGGATGTCTGGTTCCTATCACCACCACTGTGAACAGTTCTGACTCAAACCTCTCTGAATGACTTTACATCTAAACCATTTACTTAAGCAGAAGTTTTTGAAAATCTGTCTATTTTAAATAAACTGTTTGTGTTAAATAAACACTGAGGTTCTCCTCTGTATGTGGAGAGAGAATGAATGTAGGCTAATGGAAATCTTCCTGTTTGAGTGAAGCACATAGAGGAAAAGGAGAGGAAGTGCAGAGATTTTTTTTTCATTGTTTCTCTCACCCTCCAGCTGACCAGAGACCGGAAGCGAGAAAAGGCAGCAATCTGGGAAACAATACTGAGCCGACTCAGTTCAGTAGAGAGGAAACGCTCTGATAGTGTCTGACTTTAAGAAATGTTCTACAGAGTAGCAGAAACAGTTCATATTTCTCATTTTGAGGTTGTTGTAAGAATGTTTTAAGATTAATTAACTTATTTCTAGTTATTTTACTTGTTTTATTCTACTGGCAGGTAATGTTGCTTGTTCTAAGCTTTATTTCCAGGTATTTTATATGGGTCTTAATAATAATTATAATAATAATACTCATACTAATAATAGACTAATAAAAATTGCCTAATATTTTTGTTATTATGCACTGGGCCTATAAGGTCCTGGTTATACCACAAAGCAGAACAGTAATGACACAATGTAAAGAATATAATTTGCATTAATTTGAATCTGTCTGTATGTATTTGTGTCTGTGTACAAGTTAGTGTGCTTTTATTAATATTATTAATCTTAGTGTCCATTCTTATAGGCTAACGCGTACAGTGTTAACATTTAGTGAGCTCAGTCTTGACATAAGCCCTTGTAGTTCCCTTTGGCCTACATTTACCCAATATTTGTTCTAGATACGTTACATGTGGTTTGTAAAGGGCATTACAGTGAAAGCACTTTGAGAACATTTCTCCTGTCTGTAAGTGACGGTGGGCAGAGTTGCTCCACCATTTGTAGGTGTGAAAAAAGTCTGTTGGCAGTTTTAAAAGGGGAAATGCATTGATTAATTAGAGACAAATATCTGAGAACAAATTTGCCTGTTTGCTCAAAATAAATAAAATAAAAATCAGTATAACCTTGTGAAGTGCATGGTAAAGTATTCTTGAATGTTGTAGGTGTGCGTTTGCATGAGTGACTCGACACTAAATTGCTTTTCCATTTTTGTCTGAATTTCTGTATAAATGTATATAATCCCTCAAGGCAGAGAAATGGTGTTTGCACTTACTTCAAATAACACACGATTTAAAAAAAATCCACCCTGCTTGTGTTGTTTATCAAGCTTTTGTAATTACTGTAATTATTGTGTGAAATAATGTCTGTAATCGAGGACTTTCTATCCGCAACTTAAATAAAAGTGCTCGGATTTAGTGTGCATGGTGTGTTTTAGAGTCAGAGTCAGAATCACTTTAATTTGCCAAGTCTGTTACACATACAAGAAATTGGTCTTGGTGAGTCATACAGGTATGACATACTCACCAGACCAGACAGCCACACAGACTAGTAACATGTATTTAAGGCACAAATAAAATAAAACATAGAATAAATGGAATAAAGTATAAATAATAATAAAAAGCTAATGTGAAATGAGCTAAAG